AGTTGACTACACCCAGCCGACAACACCCAGCTGACCACACCAGCCAACCATGCCCAGTTGACCACACCCAGCTGCCCATGCCTGTGCTGGCCACACCCAGCCAACCACACCCAGCTGACCATGCCCAGCTGATCACACCAAACAACCATGCCCAATTGACCACAACCAGCTGACCACGCCTGCACTGGCCACACCCAGCTGACCACACCTGCACTGACCATACCCAGCTGACCACACCCAACCGACCATACCTGTGCTGACCACACCCAGCTGACCATGCCCAGCTGATCACACCAGCCAACCATGCCCAGTTGACCACATCCAACTGACCATGCCTGCACTGGCCACACCCAGTTGACCACACCCAGCTAAGCCTGTGTTTGCCCTCCTTCACCTCTAGCCCCCAGGGAGCTATAGGATTGTGGCCAGCAGCACGTCCCCTTTGAACTGTGGGATCTTGACCCACCCAGAAGCCTCAGCTGGGTCACCCAGAGCTGCCTGAGCTGGCCTGTGGGGCCCCAGCATCAGGACTGCATCCTTCATCTTGGCTCTGCCTGCTTCTTTCCTCTATGCCTCCTGTCATGTCTGGGCCAGCCAGTGGTCACCAGGGCACCTTGCCCCGTGCCTGAGCTGCCCCAACATGACCATGGCCCCTGGCATAGGGCAAACAGCTGGGCCAGTGCAGGTCTCTGCTGCTACCTGCACGGGCAGAAGACACCACAGTCTCTCAGAACCAGATCATGGGCAGGATGCACACCCAGGGGATCCAGCCAAGGAGCAAACCCCTGCGGGGAGCGCTGCCCTGGGCCCCTGGGCACTGCCTTCTGTGGGCTCTGGACTCAGGAGCACAGGCAGGCCGGAGAGCCTGGGAGGACCAGGACAGCCAGCCGCCAGCCTCCCTCCCACCCCCTCCCCAGCTGTTCCCAGGATCTGCTTTGAATTAAAGTGGCATGGCCCTTTAAAGGGAGCATCCGCCGCCCCCGCCACCCCCTTTGATGTCCCTGGCGCTGGGAGGTTCCCAGTGACAAGATCTGAGGGTTGGCCTCTGCCTCCCCAGAGGCCACGTGCGGATCCCTGGCAGAGGGAGGGCCAGCCCAGGGTCACATGGCCCGGCAGCTAGAGGATCAGCTGGGGGGCAGGCAGTAGGCCAGGCTCTCTGCCAGGTGACCCCAAGCCCGAGCCTGCCAGCCCGCAAACAGTGCCCTCGTCCCCAGGGCCGGAGGGCGGGCCTGACCCTGTCCTCCTGGGACATCCAACTCTCCCCAGTCCCTGGCACCCAGACAGCTCTGTGGGGTCGGGGAGCAGCTCTCCCAGTCAGGTCAGGGTTCTGGGTTCAACCAAAGGGGGACCTTGCTGCCACACACAGAGAAGGGACACCGGGGGATGAGCCAGGGGTCTGACTGAAACGAAACATGGCGGCCGGGTCCCTCCGCCCCGCCGCCCCCCTGGCCCACCCCCGCTGAGATCAAGCCCAGCTCCCCGCCCAGTGGTCCAGGTGGCTGTGTGAGGCCAGCACGCAGCAGCTGGGGCCCAGACGCCGGGCGCTGCAGCTGGTGCGGAACGGCCTAGGGCGGCAGCTGGCCACACAACACCAAGCAGCACCCCAGCCAGAAGCGCTGGACTCTACCCACTCTGCGGCCTGATCTGGCCGGAATCCACCCCCAGCCTGCAGCTCAGCCCTCGGTCATCTGTGAGCCCAGGGGCCGCAGCCCGAAGGGTATTTGAGGAACCCGTGAGACTGCGTGCCCCAGGGCTGGTCAGCACAGCATGACCTGGGCCACATCTCTGGCTGCACGTGCTGTCATGCCTGACGCCTGGCGACCCGTGAGGCCACACGCACATGGAGCCGGGAGCCGGGGGACCTGGACACAGGAGCGGAAGAGTGGCCAGGCCCTGACACCTGCCCCAGCAGCACATGGGGTCAGGGTGGTTTCCGGCGTGCACAGCCAGCCCACCAGCACCTGGCCCGGCGCCCAGGGCCTCCCGCTGACCACCGTCTGCCAGGCCCATTGCTGGGTGTGTGGTTTCTATTTTAAGTGAAGCCGACCAAGTGAATGTTTTGGGCCTGGGTCTGTCTGCGGTGGACGCCTCTGCCCCTGTGGACATTCACATACAAGCTTTTTGTTTAAAAAAGGTCATTTTATTTGAAAGGCAGGAGGAAGAGTGCAAGAGAGAAATCTTTTTCTCAATGGGGACTGGGTTTGATGGATGCTGGGCACCTGGTGCTCCATCGGGTCTGCTGCGGGGCCACTCCTGGGCCATGCTCCTGGGCTTCACAGATGCAGCAGTAGGGACCCAGGCGGGAAGTAGAGCGGGCAGGACTCCGGTGGGTGCTGGTATGGACATGCCAACCTTACAGGTGGCATCTAAACTGTTGCACCACCACACGCAGGCTTCCATCTGGCCACCTCTTCTTGGGGAGTCCCCACCGTCTAGGTGGGAGGACCCGGGAGCCCAGCAGAGACTCATCCTACACCCCAACCGACCCTGTGTCTCCTGCTCTTGCTCCCAGCCATCCCCAGAGACTGCCAGGTCCACAGTGGTCACTGTTCTCCTGGTGCCGGGGGCCTGGCCACAAAGGTTGGCCTCCTGATGGCTGGAAGGACCCGTCCTTCCAGGAGAATCCACTGGCTGACACAGCAGACCGCTGCGTGAAGCAACAGTGTGAGGCCAGGGCACAGGTGTGTGCAGCCCTGGGGAGCTGCGGCCTTGTGGGCTGTAGGCTCTTGGCAACGGACAGACGGCAGAAGCAGGGTGGCTCTGGTGGAAGCACCATGTAACGGTCGGCATCCACTGCTCACACTGAATCAACTACAGCTCATTGGGGGTCACCGTGTGGGTGAAACAGCAACGCAGCTGACCCCAAGCCATGCCACCGTCATCCCACCACCCTGCTCGGAGGCGCCCCAGCTCCAGGGACTCTGAGGCCTCACAGAGGTGAGGCCAGGACCTACATCAGGAAGAGAAAGTGGAGGCACCGAGAGGCCAGTATGACCCACAGCCCCAGGGCCGTGCAAGGCTGCACAGCCACTTCTGTCTGGGGGCCTGACTGCAGGCATGTCCCCAAGGCAGAGCTCCTAGGGGCAGATGCTTGGCCAGTGAGACCACTCCCTAGAGTCAGCAGCCCTCCCTGAGGACCAGCGTGTGCGTGTGTGTGCGTGTGCACGCGCAGACAGCCCCTGGCCAGTCCCAGATGGCCCTTAAATTAACCCGCAGCAGCAGGGCCGCGCATTGCTGTGTGAGCAGTGCTGAGGACGGCTCACCTGCTGCCCCCCATCACCCGGCCGGTGCTTCACGTCCACTGGGGCCTCTTTGTCCGACCCCCAGGGAGCTCCAGGGTAGGTCACTGTCATTGGCGAGAGCCGGCCAGCAGAGCTGCGTGCATACCTGGGGTGCACGGTTATGCATAGTGTGTACGTGTGGGTGTAGCGTGTGTGTTTCTCCCCCATGCCCTAACAGCCTGGGGCCTGGCCCTCTGCCTCCAATGCCAGCAGGCGATGGGGGCTCCCCCTAGCTGGAGGCGCTAGCTCCAGAACCTCGCACAGATCTGGACTCACGTTCCAGGGCAGTAGGCTGGGACTGCCTGGGAAGAAAGGCAGTACGTGGCACTTGGTGCAGGCCCGGGGAACCCACGCGGGTCCCCCAACCGCTGCATGTGCGTTTCCGCCTCGGATGCCACTGGGTCCAGCCGCCCCAGCCCTGCCCGGTGGACGACGCGGGGGGTGGGGGAGGGCTGGGCCGGTGAGGTGTCAGGGCGCGTGTACCCAGGTCACCCAGCCCAGGGCAGGCCGGCGGCGCCCAGCTCCCTGGACCCTCTCCCCTCAGTGGCGTCTAGGCATCCGGGGGCGCCGGGACGGGGGGAGGCAAGCCCCTCCGACCCCAGCGCCTCCGACAGAGCCGCTCAGGACCTGCCCACTCAGGCGCGGGACAGGGCACTCCCCCGCTGCGCCGGGCCCTGGAGCCCGGGCCTCGCGCCACACCTGTCCGCTCCTCCCGGAGGCCCCGGCGCCGCCACCGCGGGCCCCTCCGCTCAGAGCCCTGTGTCCGCCGCCGCTTTGATCCCGGGGGCCCGCTGGATAAAAGTCTCGGGCGGCTCCGCGCCAGCGCCAGACGGGGAGCGCAGCCCAGCCGGGCACGCCAGCGGGTGCAGGGCGAGCGACGCCGAGGAGCCCGGCCGCGGGGCCGCCCGCACGGGCCCTGGTGAGCGCCGGGCCCGGGTCTGCTCCGGGTGGGAGTGCACGGTGGTGGGGATGCGGGCGGGAGACCGAGCCACCCACCCCGCCCCGTGGAGACCGCGCGCTGGGGCGCGGGGCTGCCACTGCAGGTGGGCGCGCCGGCCCCGTCGGGCCCGGCTCCGTGGCGTCCCGCGCGCAGCGGCCTCCCGGCGGGGAAAAGCCTCACCCCGAGCCGCCGCCGCCGCGCCTTCCAGCAGCCCCGAAGGCGGGGGCAGCGGCGCCGGGCTGGCCGCGGTGGATGGAGACTCCGGGGCCGCCCGGTCGCGCTGCCCCCCACGAAGCCGGGCCGGGAGCGCCTCCGGCGGCCACGACGGGGTAGTCCAGGCCCCTCCGTCAGGCTTGCGGTTTGGGAAGAAAAGCCGATGCCTCCGCCAAGAAAAGAGCGAGCGCGGCCCCCTCCCCCCGCGCCCTGCCCGGGCGGCGGCACATCTAACGCGCGGGCACCCGGGCCGCCGCGGCCCCCGCGCACTACGCCCAGGCGCGGCCCCCGCCGCTTATTGGCGCGGGCCGGAGCCAGCGCACGCAGACCTCACGCTGCCCAGGGCCGCCGCGCGCCGAGCCCGAGCCCCCCGGCCCGCAGCCTCGACGCCGAGCCGCCCGCGCCCCGCGCCCCCCGGCCCCGCGCCCCCGGCCCCGCGCTTCCGAGCCCCCCGCGCCCCCCGCGCGCCCTGCGCCTAGGCCGGGGGCGAGGCAGCGGGCGCGGCGGCGGCACCCCCGGCTGCCGCCCGTCTCAAGGCGGCCCGCTCTCCGCAGGTGTCCGCGGCCATGGCCCGAGGGGTGCGCGCGCTCCTGCTGCTCCTGAGCCTGCTGCACTGGGCCGGGGGCGGCGAGGGCAGGAAGACCTGGCGGCGCCGCGGCCAGCAGCCGCCCCCGCCGCAGACCGAGGCGGCTCCGGGGCCGGGGCAGCCGGTGGAGAGCTTCCCTCTGGACTTCACGGCGGTGGAGGGCAACATGGACAGCTTCATGGCGCAGGTCAAGAGCCTGGCACAGTCCCTGTACCCCTGCTCCGCACAGCAGCTGAACGAGGACCTGCGCCTGCACCTCCTGCACAACGCGTCGGTGACTTGCAACGACGGCAGCCCTGCCGGGTAAGGCCCGCCGCCCCGCGCCCCCCGCTTCCGGGCGTTGCAGGGACCCTCGCCCCCGCCCCATCGGATGCCCGGTGGCTCTTGTCTAGGGCAGGGCCCAGATCTGTGACTCGCCGCTCCGGGCGTGGGGGTGGGGCGGCGCCTGAACTTCAGGCCTGGTTCCCAGCCAGTGCGGGCACTGACCCCTCGGCCACCGGTGCCCAGCTCGCGCCCTCGGGATCTGGGCAGCACCGGGGACGGGGGTGGGGAGAATCCCGTCTCCCCGGCCGCCGGGACCCCGAGGCCACCAGGGGAGACACGGGCGTCAGTTAGAGGGGCCAGGAGGGAGACGGGAAGGTGGCTGCGGGGCCCTGGGCGCGGATTCACGCCCCAGCGGCGGGAGGACACGGGGCGGGGAGGGGGCGTCCACGCGCTCGGGGCTTCGCCGACGGCCCGGAGACGCGACGTCGGCACCGGCCGCGGCAGCCCCGCGCGCGCCCGCGGATGCGCCCGGGGATGCGCCCTCCGCGCGGCCGTGGGGATTTTCCACGGACCACACAGGTCCCTCGCGGCCGGTGCCCGCCCCGCGAGCGCCCTCTCCTGGGGCCGGCGGCCGCGGGCACTCCCGGGCGCCGCGCCGGACGCCGCGCTGGACGCCGCCCTGGCCGCGGGTGCCCTCGTGCGGCCGCCGCGCCGGCCACGACAGGTGGAGCGCACGGCCCCGCTGACCGCCGCGCGCGTCTCCCCTCAGCTACTACCTGAAGGAGTCCAAGGGCAGCCGGCGGTGGCTGCTCTTTCTGGAAGGTGCGTCCCCAGGCCCCGGGGGGCGGGCCGAGGCTCCGCGGGCACCGGCCTGAGTCTCTCCCCCGACGCCCCGGGCTGTGCCCGCAGGTGGCTGGTACTGCTTCAGCCGCGAGAGCTGCGACTCCAGGTACGACTCCATACGGCGCCTCATGAGCTCCAAGGACTGGCCGCGCGCCTATACAGGTCAGTCCTGCCGGAAGCGCCCCCGACTGCCCCACTGGGGCCCCCTCCGCCTGCCGACACCCGCCTCTGTTCCCTGCAGGCACGGGCATCCTTTCCTCACAGCCGGAGGAGAACCCGCATTGGTGGAATGCCAACATGGTGTAAGCGGGGCCGTCCTGGGTGGGGGCCCCCTCCTGGCGGGGGGCCTTCGGCTCACAGAGTCCTTGTGTTGCAGCTTCATCCCCTACTGCTCCAGTGACGTTTGGAGCGGGGCTTCCCCCAAGTCAGAGAAAAGTGAGCCCCCTGCACCCTGACCCCAGCGCCCACCCACCCCTTCAGTGCCTGCCCACCCTCTGAGTGACCCCGACAGGATGGATCCCAGCACTTAGCCCACTCCCCTCCCCCCAGAGCCTCTCCCCGCTGCCAGCCGGCCCCACCCACATACACACCCCCTCCTCGCAGGTGGATACGCTTTCATGGGCACCATCATCATCCAGGAGGTCGTGCGGGAGCTGCTGGGCAGAGGGCTCAGCGGGGCCAAGGTGCTGCTGCTGGCCGGGAGCAGGTGGGCAGGGCAGGGCAGCCCGCTGGGGCAGGTGGGCAGGGCAGCGGGTGGGGGCAGGTGGGCAGGGCAGCGGGCGGGGGCAGGTGGGCAGGGCAGCCAGCGGGGGCAGGTGGGCAGGACAGGGCAGGGCAGCTGGCTGGGGCAGGTGGGCAGGGCAGGGCAGCTGGCTGGGCAGGGGTGTGTGCGAGTGGTTGGTTAGCTTCACACACCTGGTGGCTCCCATCTGGCCAGGCCTGGGCAGGGAACCTGCAGCCCTCAGGTGGTAGGGTGGGCTGCCGCCCTTCTCCGGGGCCCTGGGTCCCAGGTGGCAGGGGTCATGCCTGTGGGTGGACAGAGCCCGGAGATCGAGAGAAGGCAGAGAGAAGGCGTGACAGCCAGCCAGGCTCAGCAGACCCTGGCCCCTGGCCCTCCTGGGGACCCTGGCCCTCCTGGGGAGCCCCTCACTGGGACCCTGGCCCTCCTGGGTAGCCCCCCTCACTGGGACCCTGGTCTACTGGGGACCCTGGCCCTCCTGAGGAGCCCCTCACTGGGACCCTGGTCTACTGGGGAGCCCCTCACTAGGACCCTGGCCCTCCTGGGGAGCCCCCTCACTGGAACCCTGACCCTCCTGGGAAGCCCCCTCACTGGGACTCTGGCCCTCCTGGGGACCCTGGCCCTCCTGGGGAGCTGCCCCCTCAGCGGGACCCTGGCCCTCCTGGGGACCCTCGCCCTCCTGGGGAGCCCCTCACTGGGACCCTGGCCCTCCTGGGGAGCCCCCTCACTGGAACCCTGACCCTCCTGGGAAGCCCCCTCACTGGGACTCTGGCCCTCCTGGGGACCCTGGCCCTCCTGGGGAGCTGCCCCCTCAGCGGGACCCTGGCCCTCCTGGGGACCCTCGCCCTCCTGGGGAGCCCCTCACTGGGACCCTGGCCCTCCTGGGGAGCCCCCTCACTGGGGCCCTGGCCCTCCTGGGGAGCCGCCCTCTCACCGTGACCCTGCGCCTCCCCACAGCGCTGGCGGCATCGGGGTGCTGCTCAATGTGGACCGTGTGGCCGAGCAGCTGGAGGCGCTGGGCCACACGTCCATCCAGGTGCGGGGCCTGGCCGACTCGGGCTGGTTCCTGGACAACAAGCAGTATCGCCACACGGGCTGTGTGGACACCATGACCTGCGCGCCCACCGAGGCCATCCGCAGGGGCATCAGGTGCGGCAGGGCTGGGCTAAGGACGGGAGGACCGGCCCGGGAGGGAGCGGGGTCCCGGCTGACCTGCTCCCCGGCCCCAGGTACTGGAACGGGGTCGTCCCGGAACGCTGCCGGCGCCAGTTCAAGGAGGGCGAGGAGTGGAACTGCTTCTTTGGCTACAAGATTTACCCCACGCTGCGCTGTGAGTAGCGGCGGGGGCGGCCAGCGCTGGACGTCCGGTGGACGCGCGGGGCGGGGGCCGGCAGACCGAGCTGACCCGCGCCCCGCCCCCAGCCCCCGTGTTCGTGGTGCAGTGGCTCTTTGACGAGGCCCAGCTGACCGTGGACAACGTGCACCTCACGGGGCAGCCGCTGCAAGAGGGCCAGTGGCTGTACATCCAGACCCTGGGCCGCGAGCTGCGCGAGACGCTGCGAGACGTGCCGTGAGTGGGGTCCGCCGCGCGCCCCGCAGAGGCCGGGGCAGGGGCCTGGGGTCGTCCGTCGGGAAGGCCTGCCCCCGCCTGGGACGAGGGAGCTGGGGGCGCTGAGGCTGTGGGAGGGGCGGCTCAGGGCAGCCCTCTGCTTCCCACCAGGGCCGTCTTCGCCCCGGCTTGCCTGTCCCATGAGGTCGTCCAGAACAGGTGAGTGGCGCGCGGCTCGGCCCTGTCCGCGCAGGTGCCCGGGGGTGGGCGGCGTCCATGACCTCCCCCGCCCCGCGTCTGTCCGCAGCCACTGGACCGAGGTGCAGGTGAAGGGCACCTCGCTGCCTCGCGCGCTGCATTGCTGGGACCGGAGCTTCCAGGACAGCCACAAGGCCAGCCGAGCGCCTCTGAAGGGATGCCCCATCCACCTGGTGGACAGCTGCCCCTGGCCTCAGTGCAACCCCTCCTGCCCCAGCGCCCGGGACCAGTTCACGGGGCAGGAGATGCCGCTGGCCCAGCAGCAGGGCCTGGAGCCCGGCAAGCTGTTGGGGATACGGGGCGGCTCCAGCTAGCACACTGCCAGGGGCGGGAGGTGGACCTGTGCCCCGCAGGCCTCCCTCTTAGTCGCCGTCTGCGGGCCTGGCTGACTGGGGGCGCCCCAGGGCCAAGCACTGGATTGCTCAGGCCAGCATCAGGACCAGGACCGGACCCCACCACCCTTGCCAATCATGTCCTTTTGTATTATTTTATAAAGTGACTTTTTTATGACTTAAATTTTTAAGAAGGAAAATAAGAATTATATAATGAATAATGTTGTTTTGTAACATATTTTTTTTAAGAATAAAAAAAAAAACACCAAAGAGCCTCGCCCAGCAGCTGTGTTTCTTTGGATGGGCAGCAGGGCGGGGCAGCGCTGAGGAGGGGGCGTGATCCGCGATTTCCAACCCCTCCCCGGACCACCTGCCCGTTCCCAGTGGGGCGCAGTCCGGCTCACCGGCGGCTGAGACTCAGCGCAGACCCCACAAGAGGCAGCAGCCCCCACCCCTGCAGCCCAGCCTCACCGTGGAAAGGAAAGACATGGAGCCATTATCCATGCACTGATTGACTCCTCAGGAGGCTGCAGTGGCTGGAGCTAAGCCCATTTGAAGCTGGGAGCCAGGAGCTGCTTTTGGGTCTCCCGTATGGGTGCAGGGGCCCACAGACTTGGGCCGTCCTTTGCTGCTTTCCCAGGCCACAGGCCGTGAACTGCACGGGAAGTGGAGCAGCCAGGACTTGAACCGGCATCCATATGGGATGCTGGCACTGCAGACAAACACTAGGCCCGCATCAGAATGGTGACGCCTGCCTCTTACCTTTCCAAATGATTTTCTTTGTTGGAAAGACAGATCGCCCACCTGCTGGTTCACCGTCCAGATGCCAGCAGGGCCCTGGCCAGGCTCCAGCCGGGTCTGCCACGAGAGCAGCTTGGACACAGCAATGTGCACTGCCGCCAGCTGCCGCACACCCCCAAAGCAGGAGCTGCATGGGAAGGGGAGCCAGGACCCCAAGCACGCACAGCCCTGGGAGATGTGGCCATCCTGGCTGCAGCTTAACTACTCAGACTGACATAAGCCCTGGCTTTTGTTTGTTTAGTTTTAATTGATTCATTGAGAGAAGGAGAACTCCCATCCTCACTTCTCAAACACCTGCAGCAGTGGGGGCTGAGCCGGGTCAAAGGCAGCTCCCTCCTGTGGGGGACCCTAACGCAGCCTGCTGGCCCCCAGGGCTGTGTCAGAGGGAGCTGGACTGGGTGTGAGCTATGAGCTGCCCAAGCACAGGAGTCCCCAGGGAGCTACATCCAAGGCTGGGTCCCCAAAGTGGCCCTTGGGACCAGCTGCAGGTGGCACTGAGCAGCACCATGACCAGTTCCGAGGGCCGGGCCTCGTGCCAGCTCAGCCAGACGCCAGGGCTGTTGGGAGGCCGGGCCACGTTCCTGGGCAGGAGAACCAGGCTGGGCCTGCGCCCTTACTCCCCAGCAAGGCCTTACTGGGTGGTGCTGCCAAGTCGGGGCGAGGCCGGAGCCCCGGGCCGGGAGCCCCCGCTGACGGTGTCCACCTGCACAGGAGGCCAAGGTCGCTGCACAACCTTGATGGGTCACTCCACAGGCCTCGCTGGGGCCAGGGTTGGGGGAGGAGGGTGGGTGCCCAGCAGTCACAGGGATCCAGTCCAGACGCCTCTGGGAAAACCTGGGGCAGGGCTCCTCGGAAAACATCCAGAGAGACTTCATGAAAGCAAATTTTAAACTTTAAAAAAAAAAATCTTGTTTTAGGGTCCGGCGGCATAGCCTAGTGGCTAAAGTCCTCGCCTTGGACGCACTGGGATCCCATATGGGCGCCAGTTCTAATCCTGGCAGCTCCACTTCCCTTCCAGCTCCCTGCCTGTGGCCTGGGAAAGCAGTGGAGGACGGCCCAAAGCCTTGGGACCCTGCACCCGTGTAGGAGACACAGAAGAGGTTCCTGGTTCCCGGCTTCAGATGGGCGCAGCACCAGCCGTTGTGCTCACTTGGGGAGTGAATCATCGGATGGAAGATCTTCCTCTCTGTATATCTGACTTTGTAATAAAAATAAATAAGTCTTTTTTAAAAATCGTATTTAAACATTTATTTTACTTGAAAGAATTACTGAGACAGAGAGAGAAAGAGATCCTACGGGCCCAGTGCAGTAGCTTAGTGGCTAAAGTCCCCGCCTTGCATGACCCGGGATTCTATATGGCCACTGGTTCACGTCCCAGCTGCTCCACTTCCCTTCCCAGACCCTGTCCACACCCATGCCGAGGGATACTGCAGCCGTGTCCAGCGGCCGCCCCCATTCCAGCTCTCCTGCTCACCCATGGAAGCCCAGCCCGGCAGAGCTGTTCTGTCCCCTTAGCTCCCCAGCCAGGCCTGTTCTCAGCCACAGACCTTGTCCATGTCAGTGGCTGCTCTGACCCGGGCCAGCATAACCCATCATCCAGGTTGGCCTTTGCCATCAGACGCTGCGGCCTGGCCTGGCCAGTCCCCAGTCCCAACTCTGGCTGGTGGGTGCTGCAGCCCAGCCCAGCCCAGCCTGCCCCCATCCCTGGCTTTCAGGCGAGTGAGTGGGTTTGGGAGTCTCTCAGGGGAGAGCCCATGACCCCCACAGGATCTGCTCCAGACCAGTTCTCTCGTGTGCTGGTTAAGGTCCTGCCCAACCCTATATGGTCCACATTTGCCCGGACCCTCGCTGGTGGGTATATGGTCGAGCCCTGCCAGGCAGGCCCCCAGCCATGGTTTGTGTGCCCCAGTAGGTGGTGGTCGGTACCAACAGGCCCAGCTCAGTTTTTCCATTTGGGTTCCTCTAGCTTCCCCTCCAACCCAGCCAATCTCAGCCCCCGGTTTACCCACAGGGCGGGGTCCTGGCTGGCGGAGCCCCCAGAAGTGTCTCCTCGCTGTCTCGTTCTCCGTCAGCACTCCTCCTTCACACCCCCAGACCGCTTTCCCGAGCGCTCCACAGCCCCCGCTCCTGCAAGCACATGGATCCCCGGGCCCGGTCCTCCGGTGGTGTGCCAGGCCAGCCTTGGGCCCTGCCTGCTTCCCCGGGGCCCATGCACACTCGCGTGCAAATCTCCACACCCTGTCTGCTGGCGTGCAGGCACCTGTCCCCCACATATCCTTTGAAAAATAGAACAGGTAACCATACTGGCAGAGGACGGCCCAAGTGCTTTGCCCAGCACCCAGGTGGGAGGCCTGGTTGGACTCTGTCTCCTGCCCAGCTCAGCCCTGGCTGCTGTGCGCACTGAGAGGGGAGCCAGCAGATGCAAGACCCCCGGTCACACCCCCCCCCCCCCCCCGATCCCTGCTTCGCGGTAAAGAAACAACTTTCAGAAACAAAGACGGCTGCTTGGCTGTCAACTTGAGCCGGACACTGGGCAGTGGCAGCAATGCCCTGGGGGCTCACGTGGGTCCGCAGCGCCTTCTGGGGTGGCCAGGGACGAGGAGGCAGGACCCCTGCAGGGGGCAGAAGCTCCCCCTGCAATGGACAGAGGCTGTGGCTGCCAGGGACAGGTAGATGGACAGGCTGCCCACGGCCCGCCCGTCCAGACGCTGTCGGCAGGGATAAAGTGCTGGCATCCGCCTGGGTCACTTGCTGCCTGCCCTGTTGCTGTCGCTGGCGTTTCTCAAGCCACCCCCTCCTTCACGTGGACGGCAGTGCCATGTGCTGTCTGCGGGTGTGTGCTGTCCTCCGCGCTCGGAGGGCAGAGCACAGGGGAGGGAGATCTGCTGTGACAGGCTGTGCTGGGCCAGGCCCAGAGCGCCCAGCGCTCCCACAGGGCTGGCAGCTGTCCCCAAGGGGCCACCAGCAGGGGGCGGGGACGATCGCCTGCCATGCTTTGCGGCTCACCAGCTGTACCCTGTACCCACCCCCCGATGGGGCTCTGCGCGGGAGGGAAAGTGCACAGAGGCGTATCCTCCAGGACCCTGGGCAGATGGTCAGGGAACATGGGCCCATCCTGGGGATACCACCCCAAGCGGGCAACCGGGGTGACACCCTCAACCTGGAAGCATGTGGCTTGGAACCCTGCCACCAGGAAGTTGTCCAACAGCACATATCAAGGGTTGTGTACAGGGGCTGGTGCTGTGGCATGGAGGAGTCAGCCAGCCTCTGCCTGCAGTGCCAGCACCCACATGGGGTGTGCGTCCCGGCTGCTCCATTTCCAGGCCAGCTTAGCACTAAGGGAAAGCAGCAGGTCATGGCCCGAGTCCCTGGGCTCTTCACCCACGTGGGAGACTCGGATGGAGTTCCAGACCTAGCTCAGTCCTAGCTCAGTGCTAGCCACTGTGGTCACTTGGGGAATGACCCAGTGACTGAAAGGCTTCGTCCATCACTCTGTCACTGTGACTTTCAAATTAACTAATCAATCAAGAAATCTTGAAAGAAAGCTGCTTGCAAAACCCACCCTGGCCCTTCACAAAGGTGGAGACGGCTCCGGAGTGAAGTCCGACCAGGGCGAGAGGGGCGTGCACGCCACGGCCTGGCGCCTCCCAAACCCTCCAACCCTCGACAGGCACATTTGTAACAGTCACATACTATTCCCGATTTTTAAAAAGTTTTATTTATTTGAAAGGTAGAGACAGACAGAGGCGAGACCTAAAGAAACACCTGAAGCCAGGAGCTTCTTCTGCGTCTCCCACGCGGGTGCAGGGTCCCCCAGACTTTGGGCCGTCCTCCACTGCTTTCCCAGGCCACAGGCAGGGAGCTGGATGGGAAGTGGAGCAGCCGGGACTCAAACCAGCAGCCAAGTGGGATGTCAGTGCTGCAGGTGGAGGCTTATCTTGCCACGGTGCAGCCCAAGAATTCTGTCACATTACAGCTTTTTTTATGTAAAACGAAACCTTTAGATTGCATCGTGGGGATAGGCGGGATAGTGGGCCGGGCCCACGTTTTCAGTGACTTCCCTGGGGTCTCCGCCTGCCAGTTCCCTGAGCGACCTGGCCTCGTGTCAGCAGAGGCTGCAAGATGCCAGAGCGGAACCGTGGACCAGGCATGCAGGATCAGCTGACTCAGCAATGGGAAGAACAGGCGGGCAGAGCGAATCCGGGCAGTCCTGGAGGCCAGCAGGAGGGGCTGCTGCCCAGCCTTGCAGCCTGTCCATCTCTGCACCTGAGGGTGCCCGTGCACAGGGATGCTTGCCCACGGAGCCAGGACGCGGAGCACCTGTCTCTCCTTCCCCGGGGCTGATTTGTCCCACGCGTGCACACCATGGGGCATGCCATCTCTTCCGAACCCCATCACAGTGCAGTGGCAACCACAAGCGGGCGGGGCGGGAAGTGGCTCAGAGCGAGTGGGTTAGCACCCCCTGCCCTCCCAAGTCCTGCCAGTGCAGACCATGGGAGGAATCAGGCTGCGGCCCCCTGGCTGAGAGGGAACCAACAGACAACGGAGCTCCCACAGGGGGCCAGCGCTGTGGCTTAGCACATCAAGCCACCCACGGTGTCCCAGCTGCTCGCCTCTGATCTAGCTCCCTGCTAAGGCTCCTGGGAGGCACTAACCTGGCCTGACCCGGGCCACTGGGGCCATTTAAGGATTGAGCCAACAGATGGAAAGTCAATCAATCAATCTTGCTCGCCATTCTGCCTTTCAAATAAATAAATATTTCCTTTTTAAAAAAAGATTTATTTATTTACTGGAAAGTCAGATATACACAGAGGAGGAGAGACAGAGAGGAAGATCTTCAGTCCGATGATTCACTCCCTAAGTGAGCACAACGGCCGATGCTATGCCGATCCAAAGCCAGGAACTTCTTCCGGGTCTCCCACGCAGGTGCAGGGTCCCAAGGCTTTGGGCCGTCCTCCACTGCTTTCCCGGGCCACAGGCAGGGAGCTGGATGGGAAGTGGAGCTGCCGGGATTAGAAATGGCGCCCATATGGGATCCCGGTGCTTTCAAGGAGAGGACTTTAGCCGCTAGGCCACGCCGCCAGGCCCAATATTTCCTTTAAAAAAAGAAAATAATCTGCATCTGGTGGACCGAGTCTGGGATCCCATTTGGGCACAGGTTGAAGTCCTGACTGCTCCACTTCCCATCCAGCTCCTTGCCTGTGGCCTGGGAAAGCAGTGGAGGACAGCCAAAAGTCTTGGGACCCTGCACCTGTGTGGGAAATCTGGAAGAAGCTCCTGACTCCTGGCTTTGGATCGGCTTAGCTCTGACTATTATGGCCACGTGGGGAGTGACCCAAGATGGAAGGTCTTTCTGCCTCACCTTCTCTCTATAAATATGACTTTCCAATAAAAAGAAACCTTAAAAAAAAAAAAAGAAATCTTAGAGTAAATCTTAAAAAAATAAACAGATCTTTTTGTTTTTCAAGTAAATAAAAGCCCAAAAATACTTTTGAAAAACAAAAACAAAATTTGACTCAGATGTCACGTGCCCAGAAGGGACAAGACAGACCTCACTGTGACCCCACTCCCCACTTCCTGTGCTGGGGTCAGACTGACAGTGGTCCCCACAGTCCCTGGGGGTCTGTTCTGAAACAAGTTCTGAAAGAAGCCCCCATCTGGGGGGCTAATCCTGAAGGAACATCCCCACCGTCTCTAAGTCCGCGCCTGCTGCTTCTGTCCACACAGTCCCCTGCAGCTCCGTTCCTGCTGGGGCTGCCTCCCTGTGGGGACCCCCAGAGCCGCTGCTCTCCCCTCCTCTCACCTGCAGCCAGGGGTTGGAGCCAGCAACCTAAGGGTTAAGGATGCTGGCAGGGCCTCCGTGCGGGCGGCTGGGCCGGGGTCGGGTGTCCCCAGGGCTGGGACGTGGGTGCGCGGCTGCTATTCCCGGGCTCTGATGGCGGTGGTCTATTTATAGAGCTGGGGAGCTCCCCCACCCTGCGCTGCAGCGGCTGTCCTGCTGCAATGTCACGGCCGCCATCGGCACCGCCGCCACGCCGTCCTGCCACTGCGGCCGCAGGAGGCCGGGGCCCGAGGCGCTGGGAGGATGGGCAGCAGCATGGAGCCCCCCGGGGGCGGGTACCTGCACCTGGGCGCCGTGACGTCCCCGGTGGGCACGGCCCGCGTGCTGCAGCTGGCGTTCGGTTGTGCCACTCTGAGCCTGGTGGCGCACCGCGGCGGCTTCGCGGGCGCCCAGGGCACCTTCTGCATGAGCGCCTGGGGGCTGTGCTTTGCGCTGTCCGCGTTGGTGCTGGCCTGCGAGTTCACCCGCCTGCACGGCTGCCTGCGCCTGTCCTGGGGCAACTTCACCGCGGCCTTCGCCATGCTGGCCACTCTGCTGTGTGCCACTGCCGCCGTCCTGTACCCACTCAACTTCACCCGGCTGGAGTGCCCACCTGAGCCCGCCGGCTGCCTGGCCAGGGACTTCCGCCTGGCGGCCAGTGTCTTTGCCAGCCTGCTCTTCCTGGCCTATGCTGCCGAGGTGGCGCTGACACGGGCCCGGCCTGGCCAGGTGGCCAGCTACATGGCCACCGTGTCGGGGCTGCTCAAGGTGGTCCAGGCCTTTGTGGCTTGCATTATCTTCGGGGCACTGGCGCACGACCGGAGCTACCTGCGCTACGTGGCCACCCAGTGGTGTGTGGCTGTGTACAGCCTGTGCTTCCTGGCCACAGTGGCCGTGGTGGTCCTGAGTGTGACGGGCCACGCCGGGGGCCTGGGCTGCCCCTTCGACCGCCTGGTTGTGGTGTACACCTTCCTGGCCACACTGCTGTACCTCAGCGCCGCCGTCGTCTGGCCCGTCTTCTGCTTCGACCCCAAGTACGGCCAGCCCGCGCGGCCCCAGGGCTGCTCCTGGGGCGCCTGCGCCTGGGACGGCCAGCTGGTGGTGGCCATCTTCACCTACGTCAACCTGCTGCTCTATGTCGCCGACCTCGCCTACTCCCAGAGGATCCGCTTCGTGCCCACGTTATAGCCTGGCAAGTACTGCCCGCCTGGCGGCACCCTGGAGGGGGCCCTGTGGACCACACAGACTGGGGGCCAAGGGTTAGATAGTGTAACGGGCAGAGGCTGCCGCCACTCTGCCACTGGCCTCAGGTGTGGAGGGAGTGGACAGAAGGGACCCTGGCCTAGGTCGTGGGGCGAGGCCACCAATGGCCATCTCTGCCTCCCCTCCACGTCATCCACGTTTCCTTCTGCACCCCCTCCCTTGCACCTCACACTGCCCACCTTCTCCCCTCCACCCACCCCTTCTTCACCCCAGCTCCATCTCTTCCTCCCCCACCTCGGCCTGCTTCTCTTTCTCCACATCTCCCTCCCCTGCCCTGCCTTCTCTGTGCCCGACGCATGGGATGCCTTTGACGCATGTGCCATTGTGTCCTGTCTTGTGGACGGACACTGAAGCTGGGAGCACGTGGGAGGTGGCCAGGGACACCCATGTCTGGAGAGTACCGGGCTGGGAAGCACAGTCCTGGGAAGGGCCGGTCTTGGGGGGCAGGGGTGGATGCTGAAAGGAGCCCAGCAGGGTAGGGTCTGGGGGGCTGTGCAGGGAGCCTCAGCTGGGAGGGACAATCCCTGGAGGGTTTTAGATCTGTCCCGGTGTTCCGGGACTGCCCCAGCTCACGGCAGGGCCTGATGTCGGCACTGGCTTTGCCACCCCCAGGAGCATCCCTGGGACCCCTGCAGCAGCAGAGCCAGGAGGGCGAGGCCCCGCCCCGACCCGGATACCTACCGTAACCACCACACAGCAGTTCCCATGTGCCTGAAGCGGGCTCCAGGGGCCTGGCAAGGGGCAGCCATGGAGCCACACAGCCTGGGCACCAGCTGCCATGCGTCACATGTCCAACAGCCCAGCCTCTCCTGACCATCGGGGTCCCTAGCTTATCACCCTGCAAGCCCCAGGCAGCCTCTCCTGCCACAGAGCTGGTCAGAACCCCAGGTGGGCGGGCGGCAGCTCTGGACAACTCTGCTCGCTGACCTGCCCCTGAGGTCCCTGAGCCAGTAATAAAGGCCCACCCCGCCTGCACCTCGACTCTGCCCAGTTTCTGCCCCTGCTGGTGAGGGAGGAAGAGGCCTGCAGTGGTCAGGGTGGGTGGCATGCCAGTGGGAGGAGGGGGCCTCCTGCTGCTGCCCCTCAACCACTCAGTACCCCACTGGGGTCCCCATGGCCTGGGCAGGGCAAGGCCATTGCCCCAGCAGCTTCAGGCCTGAGTGCCAAGGCCAACAGGTGATCCACTGGGGCAGTGCCTAGGGCCTGGTTGGACACCCCTACTTGGAAGGGGCAGGGTGAGGGAGCAGGCAGGTGCCACCTCTGTAGGTGCACTGTGGGTCGTGGCTGGTGGAGATGAAGGGGGCATGGCCGGGTGACAAAGTAGCTCACACGCCACGGCCCCTGCTGGCTCATGGAACACCTGATGTCATTCTCGTGTGGCATCCTGCTTCCTTCTTCACAGCCCAAACCCTGAAACAAATCACTGTCCTGGTGAGGCCCGGGGACACGGGGCTGGGACCGGCCCAGGAGCCGCTGGCAGGTCTGCAGAAGGCACACCTAGGGCTTCTGACCAGCAGCCACCCTGGGCCGGCCATGCCTATGGATCCACCTGCTTGGGAGTGTGTTATTTGTAATCCCTCGGACAAAAGCAACTTTTAAAAGATTATGTGGGGCCCGGCGCGGTGGCGCAAGTGGTTAAAGGTCCTCGCCTTGCACGCCTGGGTGCACATATGGGTGCCGGTTCTAATCCCGGCAGCCCCGCTTCCCTTCCAGCTCCCTGCCTGTGGCCTGGGAAAGCAGTCGAGGACAGCCCAAGGCTTTGGGAACCTGCACCCGCGTGGGAGACCTGGAAGAGGCTCCTGGCTTCGGATCGGCATAGTATCGACCCGTTGCGCTCACTTGGGGAGTGAATCATCGGACGGAAGATCTTCCTCTCTGTCTCTCCTCTCTGTATATCCGCCTTTCCAATGAAAAAAAAATAATAAAAATAAATCTTTAAAAAAAAAAATTATGTGAAAGTCAGAGTAACAGAGGAGAGACAGAGAAAGATCTTCTATCTACCGGGTCACTCCCTAAACGGCCGCAAGAGCTGCAGCTGTGCTGATCCAAAGGCAGAAGTCAGGAGCCTCTTCTGGGTCTCCCACGCGGGTGCAGGGACCCAAGCACTTGGCCCATTCCCCACTGCTGATCCCCACTGCTTTTCCAGGCAGGGAGCTGGATGGGAAGTGAAGTGGCAGGGGCTTAAACTGGTGCCCAAATGGGATGCTGGCACCACAGGCTGAAGGCTAATGTACTGTACCACTGCGCCAACCCCAAAAGGAATTCTCACAGGGAGCCCTGTGGTCAGGGTGCAGGACAGGGACCGGCCTCGTGGCACAGTGGGTTGAGGTGCTGCCCATCGTGCCGACATCCCTCGTGGTCACTGGCCAGAGTCCAGGCTGGGGCTGTCCACTTCCACTGCAGCTCTGGGCTCGTAGACCTGGGAGGCAGCAGAGGGCCCCTGTGCCTCGTGGGAGACGCCGAGGAAGCGCCAGGCTCCCCCTGGCCGTGCTCCCCTAGGGACCATTTGGGAAGTGAACAGGGGTGGAAGTCCTGTCTGTGTCTCCCTGCCCCCTCAAATGTTCTACCTTTCAAATAAAAGTAAAGTGGAGCCCCCTGCCAGGTGCTGTGCCCGTGGCTTTGACTGCCGGCTCTGGTGCTGACCGCAGCCCCAGGGGGAGGACCAGCGCTGGTGTCCATGGAGCCACCTCCCAGGTCGGCGCTGGTCAGGGACCTTGGACAAGGGAGCTGGAGGACAGGGAGGGAAGCCCCAGGGTCACTGGAGACAGAACAAGTCACCCAGGGCACATGCAGCTATGGAAACCCTCTCCCCATCATCTGCAGCCACCAGATCTGCAAAGCTCGGGCTGTTGCGCTCACTTGGGGAGTGAATCAACAGACAGAAGATTTTCCTCTGTCTCTCCTCCTCTCTGTATGTCTGACTTCCCAATAAATAATAAAATAAAATACATCTTTTTTTTTTTTTTTTTTTAAAAAAAGCTACCCTGGCCCCTGGCCCTGTAGACTAAGCCTCCTGTCTCCTGCCCCGCTCCCCTCTCCTGGGGACAGCCTGCCTGCACAGAAGGCCTGGGGCGAGGGGCCCCCGGGGCAATGCCAGCCCAGGATCACCCTGGATCGGCTTCCGCCTGCTGTGCTGGGACCGGAGACATGCAGCAGGAGGGAGGGTCGCAGCAGAGCCGGGCACAGCTCAGGGAGGACAGAGGGGCAGGAGTTTGGGGGAGGGGGTGTGCAGAGGCCAGTTTCGGCTGGGATGTCCGCCTGTGGCCTGGGATATCCGAGACAGGCTGGGGAGCCCGTCAGGATGAGAACCCAGCACCTGGGGCAAGGGAGGGCGCTGGCAGGGAGCAGGGTGCCCACAGGGGCAGAATGAGGAGCCACGGGCGTCAGTGGTGAGGACCACCTAGTGAAACCCTGGAGGACCCTGGGGAAGCCATGAGACCCTGGGAGCCGAGCCGGGCCCTAAGGGGCTTGGGTCCATGAGCTCTCCTCGGGCCAGCTAAGGAGGCTGGGCTTTCCCCCAGGTGGCAGCTGGGCACCCATCAGGCTGCGTGATGGCGGGGGGCTCCTGGCTGCAGAGAAGAGCCCTGCGCGGCCAGACCAAGGGCACGTGAGGCAGGGCCGGGCACCGAGCTGGAGCAGCGCTGGACTCCACCGTGCCAGCCGTGGCTTCTCAGCTGCCTGGCACACAGAGGAGCCACCTTCTCTGGAAGCTTCCACGGGAGTGCCAGGCACTCACTGGCCCCGCAAAACTCAGGTCGGACACGTGCCGGCGGGGGCACGAGGGCCTCGAAGCGCACGCCGGGGACACGCCTCGGCCCGCACCTCAGCCCGCACCACACAGCGTTCGGGCCCGGCACGTCGGGCTTCGAGAACAGCCGGGAAGCGCCGGGCCCAGTAGACCCCGGCGGTCCGGGCGCGGCGCGCGTTGCCAGGGCGACGGCCCGCGGCTGCGCAGGCGCAGGGCGGCGCGCCCCGCCCTCCCGTTGAAGCTCCGGCCGCGTCGCCGCTTCATGAATGGAGCCCACGTGACCAAACATCATGTGACGTCTCGGAGCGGCGGCGGCGGCGGCGGATCCCGAGCCCGGTCCGGCCCGGCCTTGGCGCAGCGCTCGGCGCGGCCCGCGAGGCGGCGAGCCCCCGACGCCCGAGCCCCGGGCGCGGCCCCCGGCGCCCACCCAGCCCCGCGCGGCCTCGGAGCGCGCGCGGCCCCGCCCCGGCGCGCCGGGCCCGCAGTGTGGTGAGTGTGGCGGGCCGGGGCGGCGGGGGCGGCGGCGGGGCCGGGGCGGGGCGCCGCGCACCCCGGGGCCCGGGCCCGCGCGCTCGGCCGGGCGGCGCCTCCCGGTCCCCCGGCGCCGGGCACGAAGCCCCGCGCGCCCCGGGCACCTGGCGGCGGGCGCGAGGCGCACGAGGGGCGCGGGGCGAGCGGGCCCGGAGCCGGGGGCGCACGGAGGGCGCGGCCCCCGGGACGGCGGCTCCTCAGGTGTGTGGCCGCGGCGCGCGGCGGGCTCGGGCTCCGGGGCCGGGAGGCGGGGGCCGGGCGCCCCTGCCCGCGGGCCCGGGCTCGGCTCGCGTGCCAGCGCCGCGACCTGCTGAGTCATCAACATGAGGTCACTCGGCGCCCCGGCTGGCGCGGGGACTGGGCGCGGGGCCGGCTGCCGGGCGGCGCACGTGGGGATGCGCGAGGGGCGCCGGTCGGGGCGGCACGTCGGGGCTGCTCGGGGGCCGCCCGTCCCTCCCCGGCAGCCCTGGGCGAGGCTGGGGCTGAGCCACGTCCGGTACAGTTCCCCAAACTGAGGACCTGCTCGGTGGCGGAGGAGGGGAGGGACCTGGTGGGCCGTGCCCGCCGCTGGGAGGCGGCCTCTGCGTGGGGCTGACCTGGATTGGACAGAACCTGGGGTGGGGGTGTCCCCGTCCGAGGAGGAAGCCCTGCGCCCCGCACCTCCCTGCAGTCTGCGTGGAGGCTGCTGGTGGCCCCGGGCCAGTGTGGCTTCAGTGCCCCGCCGAGGTGTGGGCTCCGTGCTGGGTGTGGTTGGCCTGTGCTGCCAGCAGGTGTTCAGCCAGGGGCCAGGGCTCTGGCAGCAGCCGCCAGGTAGGCAGCGCCAGCCCGGGGTTCATGGCTGGGGCAGGCTGGCCCCTCAGCTGCCCGGTTGAGGGGCTGGTGGGCAGCTGCAGTGTTATGCCCTTGGCAAGCACCAGGTCTGGTCACCAGTCAAGTTCAGATTCGTGCGGACTGATGGCTGAGGCCCGTGGGAGCTGGATGAGTGTGGGGGCTGGAGGAAGGAGGGGGCCCAGCTCTGAACATCCCACAGGACACAGCAGGGGACTGCGGGGGCAGGTTTCCCAGGAGGCAGCCAGGGCCCTTCCTTTCTGGGGCAGGAGCCTGGGCCCCCTCGGGGTCAGCACATGTCCCCAGGGTGGCAGCAGCCAGAGGGCTTGGAAGCCCGTGCCCTGTGCATGGGTGTGCCCTGTGCATGGGTGTGCACGGACACAGGCGCACACACCTTCCGCCGCGCTTTGCTGAGTCCAGCCTCTGCGGAGGTGAAATCTGTCAGGCACTTTCCCTGCCGCCATGCTCAGCTGTCCCCTCAGGAAGCCACGGCTGTCATTGTGTGGTGGGTGGGACAGCTGTGCGCTTACTGGGGGCTGCATTGGGGGCCCCACCCCTCCGACCTCCAGCCAGTGCCTTAGGGGCTGCCTCCTGGGTCCCCCCATCCCGCAGCGGCTCAGTTGGGTGTCCTGTGTCCTGGGGCTCTCTGTCCACCGGCATATCGCCCCCAGGAAACCTCAGCCCTTCTCCCCCACACTGCTCACTCCCCCCGTGTCCATCCTGAAAAGGGAGGGGTACCACAGCACGTGTGAGGGTCTCCGGGGTGCTGGCTGAGGGGCAGGGGTGGTGGTGATGGGGCTTGGGTCACTGGGATTGTGGGCACAGGCCCAGGCAGTGACCTGGAGGGACCACTGCACCTGCTCTTCTCTGAGCAGCACCCCTCCCCGGGACCTTGTGAAACACCCAGTGGTGTGGGGCGGGGGCCCCCGGGTGTCAGATGCCGCAAGCCAGAGCCATGGGGCGGTTACCCCATCGTGGCGGGTGGGGCTGGGCCAGGCTCTCCAGCACCCACACCGCAGCCCCTCCAGCCTCTGAGACCGGCCTCGTTCCTGCCTGGCCACACGGTCCTGAGGGCCAGCAGGGCTTTGTTCCTGGCTGAGTTGCAGCAGGCAGGACCTTAGGACTCAGGCACAGGGCCACCGACTGGTCCCCTCCTGCATTGGTGGCCCTGGCGGGCGGCGGGCTGTTGGCCTGGGGAGTGCGGGCAGCCAGCCGCGAGGGAGGGCGGCCCGCTCGGTGCTGAGTCAGCGTGAGTCGCCAGGACCGGCACCGCCTGGGGCAGCTCTGGGGTTATTTTTAAAGCTCGCGGCTTCCTCCCAGCCTTGCCCCTCCTGCATCTCCCCTCTGCCCCTTTGTCTCGCCCCTGCTCCTGCCACAACCTCCCTTCCCCTTCCCCATCAGGCTTTGCTGACCCGGCTCCCTAGACACAGGCAGACAGGCAGCTGCCCAGCCCTGAGAGGAGAGGCGAGGCCACTTGGAGGAGGGCTGGCCCCACAGGTATTAGCGGGCAGACTCCCGGCTGGGCCCCCTCCCGGGGCAAGCAGGAAGCCAGAGGGTCAGCCCTGTTTGGGAATTGGCCGGATCGTCCCCAGAGTCCTGACCTCCACCCCCTGCCTTGCAGAGTGCCTGCTGGCTGTGCCCCCACCCCTGGGTTATGACGACCCCCAGTAAAGGAAACAAGGCGTTGAAGGTGAGCATGGGGTGGGGAGTGGGGAGCCCTGGGCCTGGGTGGCGGGCGCCCCGGGCCTGCGGTGACCCTGTGCCCCGCGGCTCCCAGGTGAAGCGCGAGCCGGGCGAGAATGGCACCAGCTTGACGGACGAGGAGCTGGTGAGCATGTCGGTGCGGGAGCTGAACCAGCACCTGCGGGGCCTGTCCAAGGAGGAGATCGTGCAGCTCAAACAGCGGAGACGCACGCTCAAGAACCGTGGCTATGCGGCCAGCTGCCGCGTGAAACGCGTCACGCAGAAGGAGGAGCTGGAGAAGCAGAAGGCGGAGCTGCAGCAGGAGGTGGAGAAGCTGGCCTCGGAGAACGCCAGCATGCGGCTGGAGCTGGACGCCCTGCGCTCCAAGTACGAGGCCCTGCAGAACTTCGCCAGGACGGTGGCACGCAGCCCTGTGGCGCCGGCTCGGGGGCCGCTGAGCGCTGGCCTGGGGCCCCTGGTGCCCGGCAAGGTGGCCGCCACCAGCGTCATCACGATAGTCAAGTCCAAGACGGACGCCCGGTCGTAGGGGCGGGCGCCGCTGCCCAGGCGGGTCTTCCAGGGGCCACTAGACACGCGCGACGACGTGGGCAGCCCTGCCACCCATCCCTCCTCTCCTTCCTGCTCCCCCAGCTCCCCCTTCTGCCTTCCCTACAAAGCACAACCCACACCCTGGGGCATTGGGCTGGGCCCGTCGGATCTCCTTGTGGTCTGTGTTTTGTGCGCTGGGATTGGTCCCTGTAGCACCCAGCTCCCCTTTGCACCAAGGCCACGTGGGCAGAGGGAGCGCCCCAGGCAGGGAAGGCCCCTGTCCGCCCTGCCTTCCCCGTGTCCAGCAGGCTGCCAGGCAGTAGGGCACTGAAGGGCTCCCTCTCTGGGCCCCGGGTGGGAGGCCGGCCTGGAGCCTGGGGCCGAGGGAGCCCACGGTGTGCGCGTGTGTGGAGGGTGTGTCGGTGTGTCCTGCGTGTTGCTGTTTACATGGCCTGTCTGTGTGGTTAGATAGCCCTTTATTTAAGAGAGAGAAGTTCCTTTTACGAAGTTATTAAATTATATGTTTAAAAAGTTAAAAGGAAAAACAAGAGCTGCAGAGTATTTATAAAAATTGTCTTTAAAAAAAAAAGTCAGGAGAACATTTGACCGTATAAATGAAAAAGGAAAGGAAAGTATAATAGAAACTTTGCTAGTTAAAAAAAAGGAAAAAAAAATCCCTTTCTTGTAAACTTATGGGCAACTCTTTGTGGCTGTTGGAGTTTAGTTTTTATATACACAGAGTTATCAGACATTATTTATAAAACTTAGTTTAAAAAAAAGACAAAAAAAAAAAAAGCAGCCCTCCGAGCCGGAGGCCCCTCTCTTTGGTATCCTTTGCAACTTGTACCGGAAGTGACTTAGGCCCTCGCCCTCCGCTCCGTGCCGGTGCTGTGTCGTGCCTGGTGAGGTTTTGCCGTGCTCCTAGTGACCTTTGACCTGTGGGTGTCCCTGCGTGTGCGTGCGTAGCCCGTGTTTGTTTTTTTGGATTCGGTTGTGTTTTAACCGACGCACAGCTCGACCAGGGCCGGGACCTGCTTGGGTCCCACGCGCCTGCTCCCCTACATCCACCAGCCCAGGTGGCCCCCTCCCCTGCTGTCCTCTGCCTCCCGCGCCCTGCGCAGGGTGAGCAATGCTGGGGGGCTTCCACACCCACCACCTCTGACCCAGGTGGTTGCTCTGCGGTGTCCCTGTTGTCTTCCTTCTGGCCAGGCCAGCTACGGGAATGGGGACAGCCTGGGCTGGAGGACCCCAGGGGCCCACTGCCCGTCTCCCAGCCTGGTTCTCAGCTGCCGACGGTGCTTCCAGGGGCGAGGGCAGCCTCCGTGCCAGTGCCAGACAAGGGCTGTGCCCTGTTGGCCCGTGGCTCCGGGCCCTCTCCCACCTCCTTTGCGGGGCCGAGTCTTCCAGGGGTCAGGAGGAACTCCTCCCGGCTGCGCAGGTTGGCCTTCGGAGGCCCTGTGGGCGTGTGGGGTGCCCATGGTGCCACATGGCCTCTTGCCAGGGCTGCTGCTCACTCGCCATGCTGGCCCCTGGGGGGCTCAGGAAAAGATCACCTGGCAGGCTCTACTTGGTGGGCACCCCACGGGCTCCCAGCGGGCGTGTTGCGGCCCAGAGACCTCCGTGTAGACATGGGGTCATCTTGCAAGGAGGGCTCTGACTGCTGACCTACCCAAGAAGGCCAGGGACAAGCCTGCAATATCATGGGCAGCCCCCGTAGCTTCTGCGGCTGCAGACTGGGTCGGGGGAGACAGGAGTGAGGAAGAGGCCTCAGGATAGCAGTGACGGCCCTGGGGTCCCAGCTCTTGTCCCTGCCCCGCCGCCCCTCAGTTCTGACAGTAGGCCGTGCGTCCGTGCGTGGCTGTCTTGTGTCCTGGTTGTGTTGGTCCTGTTTCCTGCCGTGGGTGTTGTGTTTTTTCTTCTCACTTTTTCTTGACACAGCGAGTGCAGGAGGGCCTGGGCCCGGGCCGGCTCTCCCAGACTTGTCCGCCAAGTGAACCACAACACCACGCACGCCCCTCACATCCCGCCTGCCTGTGCCCCAGCGCCTCCACACCCCACGGGGGCCCCAGATGTCAGCAGGAGGGTCAGCCCTTCTCCTGGGTCCTGGGCTTCGTGTGCCAGCCTCAGGGGAGAGTGACCAGGCCCTGTACTGCGGGTCCCCCTGGCGTGGCCACAGCCTGCTGCACAGTTCAGCTCTGGGATCCTGCGAGGTTTTTTCTTTTTCTTTTTAAGGCTGTGGTTGGGCGGGGGAACCTACACACTCACGATCCCTCCGGAAGCCGCTGACTAGTTCCTTTTCCAATGTGTCATCTTCTGCTGGCCTCGGTCTTGGGCCTGCTGGAAGAGCAGAGGGCTAATCGATGCCACCCAGGCCGGTTAGGGCGTGCCCACGAGTGGGGCTACCGGTCCTGAGCGTGTGCACCTGCCAGGCCGGGCACATTCTTTCCCCTGGAGCAGCAGCTCGGCGACCCGGGCCACCCTTGGGATGTGGGCTAAACCGCCAGGGCCACCCTCGGTGACCCCAGCCCGGCCGGGAAGCAGATCCTGTCGGTTCCCAGGCCAGGGCGGGGAGGAAGGAAGGCAAGGGCTTGGCCTCGGGGTCCTGCATCGGCCTGCGCAGTATTTATTGCTAAATTATTGTCCAGGAGGGGCGGCGCTGGGCCTGGCCCCCGGGTATTTATTGCTGTACATAGTGTATGTTTGTGATATATAAGGTTTTCTTTATTTTGTATATGATCAATAAACACCTTTTAAAAAGAGATTGGCAGGTGCCTTGCTGGGGCGGGGCGGGGCGGGGCCTGCGCGCGCGTGCGTGGCGCGGCGGCGGAAGCCGGAAGCGCGGGCTGGCAGGGCGATGGCAGCCGGGGGTCTGGGCCGCTCGGAGCGCAAGGCGGCGGAGCGGGTGCGGCGCCTGCGGGAGGAGCAGCAGCGGGAGCGCCTCCGCCAGGTAGGCCGCCGGCCCTGCGCGCCCGCCCGCCGCGCCCGGCCGCCGCTCACCCGCCCGCCCCCCGCAGGTGGCGCGCGTCCTGAGGAAGGCGGCGGCCGAGCGCAGCGCCGAGGAGGGCCGGCTGCTGGCCGAGAGCGCGGACCTGGTGGCCGAGCTGCAGGGCCGCAGCCGGCGGCGCGAGGGCCTCAAGCGGCGGCAGCAGGAGGCGAGTCCCGGGCGGGCGGGCGGGCGGGCGGGCGGGGCTGGCCGGCTGACCCCCGGCCTGCGCCCGGCAGGTGTGCGATGACCCCGAAGAGCTGCGCAGGAAGGTGCGGGAGCTGGCGGCCGCCGTGCGCGGCGCGCGGCACCTGGTGGTCTACACGGGCGCCGGCATCAGCACGGTAGGGACGGGGGGCGCGCGGAGGCCCTGGGAGGGGCGGGGGCAGCGGGGCCGCCTGCCCACGGGCCGTGTCTCTGCGCCCGCAGGCGGCCTCCATCCCCGACTACCGGGGCCCGAACGGCGTGTGGACGCTGCTGCAGAAGGGCAGGAGCGTCAGGTGAGTGGGCCCTGCCGGCCTGGCTGGGGGGTCGCAGGGGCGCCCGGGCCTGGCCTCACCGCCCTGCCCGCCTCCTCCCCGCGCAGTGCGGCCGACCTGAGCGAGGCGGAGCCCACCCTGACGCACATGAGCATCGCCCGTCTGCACGAGCAGAAGCTGGTACGAGCTGGCGCGCCCATGCGGCTCCCACGGAGAGCCCCCCTAGTCCCGGGGAGCTGCTGGACGCTCCTCCCTGCCCTGTCCCTCCTGTCCCGGCAGGTGCAGCACGTGGTGTCCCAGAACTGTGACGGGCTGCACCTGCGCAGTGGGCTGCCCCGCTCTGCCATCTCCGAGCTGCATGGCAACATGTACATCGAGGTTAGCGAGGCCCGGGGGACCCGGGGCCAGGCGCCCGGGGCCCGGCTCACCGCACTCCTTCCCCTGCGCGCAGGTCTGCACCTCCTGCGTCCCCAACAGGGAGTACGTGCGGGTGTTTGACGTGACGGAACGCACAGCGCTGCACCGACACCAGACGGGCCGCAGCTGCCACAAGTGCGGGACGCAGCTACGTGACACGATCGTGCACTTCGGGGAGAGGGGGACCCTGGGGCAGCCCCTCAACTGGGAGGCGGCCACAGAGGCGGCCAGCAAGGCGGACACCATCCTGTGCTTGGGGTCCAGCCTGAAGGTAGGCGCGGGGCCGTGCGGGGCGGGGCCGCGGTCCACTGAGCGCCTGCCCGCGAGCTTTGCCTCTGCCCTGCAGGTTTTGAAGAAGTACCCCCGCCTCTGGTGCATGGGCAAGCCCCCCAGCCGGCGGCCCAAGCTCTACATCGTGAACCTGCAGGTAACCAGCTCCGGGCTGTGTCCCGAGACCCAGCCTCAGCCGAGGCGCTGCACCCGAGGGAGGCTGGGATGGAACCCCAGGGCCCTGGCTTTGGCCTGGCCCACTGGCCGGCACTGGGGCGTGAGCCTACAGAAGGTTCTCTCCCAGCCTTAGAGTAAGGCACGGGGTCCACTGTCGCCTCGGCAGAACCAGGACAGACACGGCGCGGGTGGTGTCTCGGGTGGAGGGAGGCTCACGGGGGCCCACCATCCCTCCCGCCCTCAGTGGACCCCGAAGGATGACGGGGCTGCCCTGAAGCTGCACGGGAGATGCGACGAGGTCATGCAGCTGCTCATGGACGAGCTGGGCCTGGAGATCCCCACGTACAGCAGGTGAGCAGACGCCGGCTGCCCGGCCTGCCCCGCCTCTCTGTCGGCCGCGCCCCCTCCTTGCACATCTCGGGGTCACAGGGACCCGCAGGGGCGTCCGTGGCGTGTCTGGGGGTAGCGTGAAGGAACTGCGTACAGAGCTTGTGATGATACGCAGAGCTTGTGATGATTTCGATTCTGGTGTGCGTACCAAGTGAAAAGTTGACACTTTTTTTCTCTGTGAATTTCCAGGGTCTTAGAGGGGAAATCAGTAACTTCTTTTAATCAAAGGGTTCGAGAAATTAAGGATCCGTTCGCCTTCTGGGCCTGGCAATTCTTGTATGTTCTGTTTGTGGTGTTGTGCTGTGGGCTGTCCTGGGCTGTATTTTGTTTCTGGTTTTGTTCTTTTTCACATTAACTTAGCTCATTTCTTTCTCAGTGCTTCTCTGTATCTGTGGTCCGCATCACACACACACATGGTCTGCTCACGATGTAGTCTGTAGGCCACGCCGCCCGGCGGGAGGGGAGAGGGCTGGCCCGGGTGCCCCTGTCCTGCCAGTGGGAGTGGGCACCCCGGGAGCTGCAGGCGCCCTGAGGCCCGCGGTGCCCCCTCGGCCGTCCCCCTGCTCGGCTGGGCCCCTCCGAGACCAGCCTGCAGGAGGAGGCTTGGGCAGCCTTCCCGCGCCCGGGCGGGGCCCCCGGCCCCCAGGCATGCCTGACCCCCGCTTCCCTTGTCGCTAGGTGGCAGGATCCCATCTTCTCCCTGGCAACTCCCCTGCGAGCGGGCGAGGAGGACAGCCACAGCCGGAAGTGCCTGTGCCAGAGCCCCGAGGAGGCCGCACCTGGGGACCGGGGTGCCCCCGTCCTGGGGGGCTGGTTCGGCAGGGGCTGTGTCAAGCGGGCCAAGCGCAGGAGAGTGACATAACCCGGGCAGAGGAGGACCCGGGCCCTGCCGAGGAAGACCCCGAGCAGAGGAGGACCCCCAGGCCCAAGGAGGACCCAGGGCACAGGAGGACCCCCAGCCCGAGGAGGACCCAGGGCACAGGAGGACCCCCATGCCCGAGGAGGACCCAGGGCACAGGAGAACCACCAGCCCGAGGAGGATCCAGGGCACAGGAGGACCCCCAGGGCACAGGAAGACCCCCAGCCCGAGGAGGACCCATGGCACAGGAGGACCCCCAGCCCGAGGAGGACCCAGGGCACAGGAGGACCCCCAGGGCACAGGAGGACCCCCAGCCCGAGGAGGACCCAGGGCACAGGGAAACCCCCAGCCCGAGGAGGATCCAGGGCACAGAAGGACCCCCAGCCCGAGGAGGACCCCCAGCCCCCCGCCGGCCGCGGGCGCGGCTTCAGGAGACAGGGCGGCGGGCTCAGCCGCACGCCCCCTGGGCTGTCGTTCTGGCCGGCGCCCACAGACTTGTTCCCTCATTAAACCATCAAAGCGCCTGCTCTGTCCTGCTTGTCGCAATGGCTGCTCCGGCGGGGGCGGGGCTCCGGGCGGGCTGCGCGCCCCATTGGTCCATGTGGTGGGCGGAGGGCAGGGCCTCCGATGGCGGGGCGGGGTTCCAGGAGGCCTGAGCGCGCCATTGGCCCTGGCGGAGGTCGAAGGGGCGGGGCTCCGGGCTATCCGTGCGCGCATTGGCCCCGCGCGGCGGGTGAGGGCCGCGTGACGGCTGCCGCGCGTGCGCGGTGCGGCGGCGCCTGACCGGGCCGGAGCTGGCAGGTCCGTGCCGCCCGACTGGCCATGATTCGGAACGGGCACGGGGCTCCGGGGACGGCCGAGCCGCCGGGCGCGGGGGGCAGGCGCCCCGTGCGGGTGTGGTGCGACGGCTGGTGAGCGCGACGGGTTCCGGGCGGGAGAGGGACCCGACCCGGGGGCGGGAGCCCTCTGCACTCTGACCCCGCGGAGCGGCGTCCGGGGCGGCACTGCCCGCCCAGGTCCGCCGGCCGCTGCTGCCCGGGGCCGCGGACGGCCTTCGGGAACGACCTGGGAGCAGGCCAGCAGCCTCTGCATAAACGGTGAGGCAGAAGGCTTGCGCCCGAGCCGCGGGCTGCGGGCCCGGGGAGTCGCTGGGGACGGGGAGCCGCTCGGGCTGTGGTCCCCGTGTCCTGCAGTCCGCCCCGTGTCCCACAGCTACGACATGGTGCACTACGGCCACTCCAACCAGCTGCGCCAGGCTCGCGCCATGGGCGACTACCTGGTGGTGGGCGTGCACACGGACGGTAAGGCGCGGCCCCAGGCAGGGCAGGGCAGGGGCGCCCGGCGCGGCCCCGCTCACGTCCCTCCCTGTCCGCAGAGGAGATCGCCAAGCACAAGGGGCCCCCCGTGTTCACTGAGGAGGAGCGCTACAAGATGGTGAAGGCCATCAAGTGGGTGGACCAGGTGGTGCCCGCTGCACCCTACGTCACCACGCTGGAGACACTGGACAAGTACAGCTGTGACTTCTGCGTCCACGGCAGTGAGTCCTGCAGGGCGTGTGCGGGCCGGGCTCGGGGTGCCAGGAGCCTGTGTGCCCATGACAGTGAGTCCTGCAGGGCGCGGGCAGGCCGGGCTCAGGGTGCCAGGAGCCTGTGTGCCCATGACAGTGAGTCCTGCAGGGCGCGGGCAGGCCGGGCTCGGGGTGCCAGGAGTGCTGTGCTTAGGAACCCCGTGTGTGTGTGTGTGTGTGTGTACCCCAGATGACATCACGCTGACAGCAGATGGCCGGGACACGTATGCAGAAGTGAAGCAGGCAGGGCGCTACAGGTTAGTGGGCACGAGGCACCGGGGCGGGATGGAGCCTGGGTGGCCCTGTGGGAACCCAGCTCCCCTCTGTCCCCCAGGGAGTGCAAGCGCACCCAGGGCGTGTCCACCACGGACCTTGTGGGCCGTATGCTGCTTGCCACCAAGGCCCACCACAGCGGCCAGGTGAGGCCCTCCCCCTGCCCTGCCCACCCCGGCGTGCCCTCAGTGCCCCTGCAGCCCTCAGCCCCACGGCCCCTCTGCCCCTCCGCAGGAGTTGTCCTCCGAGTACCGGGAGTACGCAGACAGCTTCGGGAAGGTGAGTGAGCCAAGCCAGGGCCTCCCTCTTAGGCCAGGCCGGCCCAGGCACTGCAGTGGGAGGGTGGCAGGCAGGAGGCAGCCCCAGCTGGCTCACTGGCCACTGCCTGGAGGAGGCCGTGAGACGTTCTGGCAGGTGGGCTGGTCCACTCTCCCTTTGTAGCTACCCCACACCCGACACCCGCCAGGGACACACTGGCCTCAGGGTGCCAGGTCCCCCAAGAGCTGTGTCTGTGGCCGCAGGGCCCCTGCATGCCTCCTCCTGTGGCTGGTCACTGGACCGTGGCCATAGTTCTGCCGGCTGTGAGGACTTTGCCTGGCCTAGGGGGCACTGTGCCCACCCTGGCCCCACCTCCTGCCAGGTGCCTGCACAGGCTGGAAGCCCCTTTGGGATGTGGAGCCCTGCCTGTCGCCCCAGGCAGGCATGCCCAGGAGGCCTCTGCTGCTGACGCCCCCCCTTGGCCTGCAGTGCCCGGGGGGGCGGAACCCCCGGACAGGGGTGTCCCAGTTCCTGCAGACGTCCCAGAAGATCATCCAGTTCGCTTCTGGGAAGGAGCCCCAGCCGGGGGAGACCATCATCTATGTGGCCGGCGCCTTCGATCTCTTCCGTATCCTTGTGTCCCACGGGGGTTCCTCGGAGGGCCCAGGGCTGGGCGGCCCGGGGCTGCTGCACTGCCCTCCCAGTCTGTGGCTGCTTCTTAACCTGGCGCAGACATCGGGCATGTGGACTTCCTGGAGAAGGTGTACCGGCTGGCAGACAGGCCCTACGTCATCGCCGGCCTGCACTTTGACCAGGTCACTGCCCCGCACCCTGGGCAGCTCATGGGCTCCTGGGGTCTTTGGGCAGAGGTGGCTGGTGCCCAGTGAAGGCAACGGAGACCCTGGGGGGTGAGCCTAGGACATGGGTGGGGGGATGGGCAGGGCCCTATTGTCCAGTGGGTCACCTGGGGAGCCAGCACCTTCCCCAATGTCCCCCCCGTGAAGCCAGCTGGGTGGCTCACACCCCATGCAGAGCCCCCCACCTTGTACACTGAGCTCTCAAGCTGAGCTGAGCCCTCTGCCCAAGCCCTCTGGCTGAGGCTGAGCCCCGTACACACTGAACCCCAAGCCGAGTCCTGCGACCTCCCCACACTGAGCCCCTGGCTGAGCGCTGCCCTCTGGTCCCAGGAGGTCAACCGTTATAAAGGCAAGAACTATCCCATCATGAGCCTGCACGAGAGGACACTGAGCGTGCTCGCCTGCCGGGTGAGTGGGTCGCACAGCCACACGGGCACCGCGCTGCCCTCCAGCCCTGGCCACACTGACCGCGGCTGCTCCCTGTCCCCGCAGTACGTGGCCGAGGTGGTGATTGGGGCCCCGTATGCCGTCACTGCTGAGCTCCTGGCTCACTTCAAGGTGAGGCAGCTGGAACCCCCAGGTCCTGGTCCAGACTCCATTCCCCAGCAGGCGGCCCTTGCCTCACGGCCTCCCTCCCCAGGTGGACCTGGTGTGCCACGGGAAGACAGAAGTCATGGCTGACAGGGACGGCTCGGACCCCTACCAGGTGGGCCTTGCTGGCTCCCGCCAGGCATGCACAGTGGGCAGGGCAGCAGCAGGTCCTTGCTTCTGGGACGGTGCTCACCCTCCGCTCCCCTCTGGGGTCCCCAGGAGCCCAAGAGACGGGGCATCTTCCGCCAGATCGACAGCGGCAGCGACCTCACCACCGACCTCATCGTGCAGCGCATCATCAAGAACCGGTGAGGCAGTGCGGCGGGACGGGGTGAGCCGGGCAGGCCCCCGCAGACAGCCCCCGCTCACTGCACCTGCTCCCCAGGTTGGAGTACGAAGCTCGGAACCAGAAGAAAGAAGCCAAGGAGCTGGCCTTCCTGGAGGCCCACGGGCAGCAGAGCTGAGGCTGTGCTCCGGCCACACATGCTCTCCCAGGGCCCAGGCTCGGCTCCGGACCTGTCCGCTGCCTGCCATGTGACCGCGGAGGCCAAGAGCTGCTTGGGGGGCTCTCGGGGGCAGATACACCCCCTTGGCAGGCAATCTGCCCTATATCTGGTCCAATATGCGCCAGATATGCCATGTTCTGCACCAGCTCTGTGGCTCCCGTGGCCACATCTCCCATCTGTACCTGACAGGCCTCTGGCACTCCTGGTGCCCCTAATAAAGCCTGGAAGCCTGGTGCGTGTGGATGAGTGGCTGCAGCAGGGAGCTGGCTCAGGACTGCACTGGGCCACTGGCTGTGGGTGTGACGGAGTGACTGCTTCTGTTGGCCACTGGCCCACCCTCCCTGGCTGCCCCGCCCCCGCCCCACTGGCCACTGGCTGTGGGAGTCCTGGGCTGTCAGAGCCTGGGGTGCCGAGTGCCCTTCCTGCTCCTGCTGGGCTCAGCTGGGTAGGATGGGAACAAGGGGGGAGCCCCAGGTCATGCTCTTGGGGGAGCCCGAGTGGGCTTTGAGTGGTACCGTGGCCAGAGGGAGGCCCTGGAGGCTGGGCAGGAGTAGTGTCCATGGGAGCCACGCCTTTGCTACTCTGTGCCCAGCACCAGGAGGTGTGGCCCAGGTTAGGGCTGGCAGATGGGTGCTGGCCTCTACCTCACAAGGGGTCCAGAGCTCTCTGTGGCGTGGGGGCTGGGCTGCCGGAAGCGCATTTGGGGGGCCTCTGGAAAAGCTAGGGGGCTAGCGCAACATCTTCCTGGGCAGCCTTGGCCCAGACCACTACCCAAGAAGGGCCTAAGAAGGCGTCAGGGCCACCCGCCAGCTGGCGGCTACTCACGACACAGCGTCACTTCTGCTTTATTGGTTCAGTGCTGCCCTTGGGTGCCCCCCCGCACCTGGTGGGGCCGGGGCTGAGCCCACCGTGGAGACAGAGTGCTGCTCAGCGACAGGAAGATGGCAGCCCTGCGCTGGAAGGCCCCGGGCCTGTGGGGCAGGTGCCGGCAGCTGCGCAGGTCCAGGGTGAAGTCCTTGACGCACAGGGCCTGGGGCAGGCGGGGGCAGGCAGGGGGCTCAGGAGGCCTCCTGCACCCCTCCCCCACCCTCCCCGCCTGCATCCTTCCCCTCCCCCGCCTGCACCCCTCCCCCTGAGGCACTCACTAGGCTCTGCAGGCTGGGGCGCAGCTCTGGGGATGGTCCTGGCCAGCCCGGGCACCGGGAGTGCCGTGCGGACACCGGACAGCAGTCCTGCAGCTCTTCCCACCGAGCGGTAGCCAGGCCCTGCGGCCAGCCGGTACCATGTGTGGCCAGGTGGTGCCAGCAGCAGGCACAGCGCCAGGCTGGCCATCACCAGGACCACAGGCCGGGTCATGGGGATGCAGGCTCAGGTCAGGAGCGCAGGCACCTCCAGGCTCCCAGCCAGACAGCTCGGGCTGCCTTTATATCAGCAGCAGGGGAGGGGTGGCTGCCTGAGCTGGCAGCACAGGGCTGGGCTGGGATGCCAATCTGGGGCGACCAGGCGCGTGGGCTGGGCAGAGGACACGGTGGCCTCACTGGAACACAGGGGGGTCCTGGGGAGGACTACAGCTGGGTGAGGGAGGCTTAGCCAGCCTGGATCCCCAAAGAGCAGCCCCCTAAAGGAACAAGGCAGATGCCCTCCGCCAGCCAGCCAGCGGGGGAGGCAGACCCCACGCTTGGGAAGAGCACATACAGTCAGGGTAGGGGGCCCCCACCGAGGCAAGACAATTGGCAGCATCCGAAGCCCGAGGGAAGGCAGCTGTGCCCAGCGCGGAGGGTGAGGACAGGGTGGGCAGCTGCGCCCAGCATGGAGCGTGAGGTAAGGGAGGGGTCCACCGCGGAGGCTGAGGACAGGGAGGGCAGCTGTGCCCAGCGCGGAGGCTGAGGACAGGGAGGGCAGCCATGCCCAGCGCGGAGGCTGAGGACAGGGAGGGGTGACCGCCTCCAGGGCCAGCAAGGCCCAACATGAGGCCCAAAGTCCCCAGCCCACAGGTCTGCCCTTCTCTCTGCAAGCCAGATCTGGGGACTGCAGGGACACACTGGCCCCACTGGGGGGGGTCTCTGTCCACCCAACTGGTCCTGGTCACAGCAGAGACACTGCCCCTCGTGGGGCAGGCAGAAGCCATAGGAAAGCGAGCGGTCATCAGTGGCCACAGTGATTCTGGGGCAGCCTGTCGCCCAACATGGAGGGGGGTCCGTTCCATCCCAGACATTGCCCTGGGCTCCCGACTCCTCCTCAGCAGTGACTCAGGGCTCTGTGTCACCCCTGTGTCGCATGACAGTGCCGGAGGCCATGGTTTAATGAATTTTACTTATTGGATAAAAATGTCAGCACCGTGATGGGAGGAAACACACACAGCTCCGCCAAGCCATCCTGGCGGCGGGAGGAGAGGCGCTGGCGGCGGGCAGGACGAGGCGGGTCCAGGGCAGCCGTGTGGTCACTCCTTGAACTTCCACTCCTGCCGGCACATGGGGCAGTACTGTTGCACCTGCTGCGCGTGCAGCCACTTGAGGATGCAGTGCATGTGGAAGCAGTGGGAGCACTGGCCCCACACCAGGGGACAGTCATCTCCGGGCACCTTGCCTGCAGGAGAGGGGGCTGCGTGAGGACCCTCGGGATGTGCAGCCTCACCCCAGCCCTGCCCCCACGCCTGCTCACCTCTGAGAGCGGGGCCCAAGTGACCTCCCTGGCCCCAACCCTTCCAGATCAGACCCATCCCTGGCTAACCCCAGGAGCTTGGTGAGCCGGGGCTCCAGAACCCCTGGAACAAGAGGACTAGAAGCCTGGGACCCCCAGATGACAGCCTCGGCCTGGGGTCCTGCTCCACCCCACCCCCCAGCGGAGGGGGGGCGGTCACAGTGGAGCCAGGGGCACTATTCCTGTGGCCAGCCCGCCCAGGACATTGAGAACAACCCAACACCTGGATGAAACTAAATGAAAGCAGAGCTCGGCGGGCCTGCTCCCGGAAGGGCCGGGGCCTGCCAGGAGGACGCCTGGCTGTCAGCCCATGCCCTGCTTGCTCCAAGCTCCCGGCTGCTGCCCAAGGCACCGTGGTAACCAGGGCCAGGACGCCCCGGCCGGCCAGTCCACCGACCTGTGGGGAACTGCCCCAGGAGACCAGCAGCCTGTGGCTCTGAAAGATCCCATGAGCCATGGAGAAGGGACTAACAAACTGATTCTTTCAGGTGCAGGAACCCAGCCCAGGGCGGGCCTGGAGACCGGGCCAGAATCCCTTCACAGGGACCCCTTCACTCAACAAGCCAGCAAAGCCACAGCTACGGGCACACCCACCCAGAGTCACCTGAACTGCCGGCTGCTGCACAGCGGGACCGAACCCAGGGCGATGCTGCCCTTGGCTCTGCCCACCCCACTGTGGGCGTCTGAGCACACTGGAAGAGACCCGCACTGGGTGCCAGGCTATTCACCAAAAATAAGTGGATCTTGGGCTTGGCACCGTAGCCTAGCGGCTAAAGTCCTCACCTTGCACACGCCCTGGATCCCATGTGGTCACCGGTTCTAATCCCGGCAGCTCCACTTCCCATCCAGTTCCCTGCCTGTGGCCCGGGAAAGCAGTGGAGGACGGCCCAAAGCCTTGGGAGACAGCACCAGCACCCAGCCCTACCCTCCGCCCCAGAAGCAGCCCATGATGGTACAATCAAAAAACAAACACACTTTCTAGAAACAATGCAAAGCGCAGTCTAGCCGAGCCCCGCCACCCCCGCTCCCCGGGCACTCACAGTCCGGGCAGCAGCCGTTGAACGCCATCCGGCAGATGCCGCAGTTCTCGTCGTTGGCCACCCAGAGCCAGGTGGCTACGCCGTTCCAGCACTTGATCTTCACCCTCATGGCGGCGGGCCTGCGGGGCGCTCAGCGCGGCCGGGGGGTCTGCACGCTCCGGCCTGCGGCGGCGGGTATCCCAGCCTCGGCGCGCAATCCAGGCGCGCACAGCCGACGCAGGAGGGGGAAGGAAGGTGGAGGGTCCAGGCTCGCTCTCCAAGCGCGCACAGCCGGACGCTGGAGGGGGAAGAGGTGGAAGGTCCAGGCTCGCTCTCCAGGCGCGCGCGGCCGGACGCTGCAGGGGGGAGAGGCGGAGGGGAGGTGGAGGGCGGCGCCCAGGGCGCACAGCCAGAGGCCGGCCCGCCCTGCGACCCCCGCCCAGCCAGGCCGGCCCGCCCTGCGACCCCGCCCCGCTCAGCACCTGCCCGCCCCGCCCGGCGCGCCCTGCCGTTGGCCGCTCCGCCCTGCGCGCGGGAGCGTATAAAAACGAGCAGGGTCGGCCCGGGCTCCACTCAGCGCTCGCTCCGGCCTCGCCTACCGATCTTCCCCGCCCGCCCAGCACGCTCCCCCGCCGGCTGCAGCCAATCGGTGGCCGCTCCGAGGACCGAACGCCGGAAGACCGCGCCGAGCACCGGAGGTGACGCCGGGGCGTGCTGACGCGCGGGACCGAGCCGAGACCGACTCCGCGCCCGCCATGGCCGACAAGATGGACATGTCTCTGGACGACATCATCAAGCTGAACCGCAGCCAGCGCGGCGGCGGCGGCCGGGGCCGGGGCCGAGGCCGGGCCGGCGCCCAGGGCGGCCGCGGCGGCGGCGGGGCGCAGGCGGCCGCGCGCGTGAGCAGGGGCGGCGGGCCCCTCCGGAACCGGCCGGCCTTGGCCCGCGGCGCGGCCGGCGGCAGGAACCGGCCGGCGCCCTACAGCAGGGTGAGTGTCGGCGCGGGCGCGGGCGGCGGGGGGCGGGCCGGGCCGCGCGGGGCGCCCGGCTCTTTGTCTGGGCGCGGCCGGGGTGGCGGGAAGCCGGGGGGCCGAGGCTCACGCCCCGCCGCGCGTCTCCCCCGCAGCCCAAGCAGCTCCCCGATAAGTGGCAGCACGACCTCTTCGACAGCGGCTTCGGGGCCGGCGCCGGCGTGGAGACGGGCGGAAAGTTGCTCGTGTCCAATCTCGACTTTGGAGTATCGGACGCCGACATCCAGGTGAGTGGCTGTCGCGGCCGCAGTCGGGGGTGCGCACCCGGGGCCTCCCCTGTGCCCCCCGCGGCTTCCGATCCCGTCCCTCGGTCACGCCCCCCGCCCCGTGCCAGCCCCTCTGTCACCAGTCCCCTCTGCCCCTGCCATCCTCTGCCTGACCCCGTCCCGCGCTGCAACACCACCTGCCCTGTCCCCCCTCACCCCTGGGTCCCCATCCCTTCCGCAACCCCTCTGACCCTCCCCATCCCTGTCCCCGCACCCCTGGGTCCCTCTCCCCCATCCTGGCCCCGCACCCCTGGGTCCCCATCCCCTCTCGCCCCGCCCCCTTGGCTGCCCCCTCACTCCCTCTCGCACCGTGTCCCTCTGCAGTGTTCTCAGACCAGTCTCGGGTGAAGGTTTTGTTTCTTTTCCTCTGAGTCGAGCCCAGGGACGTGGCTTGGAGGGCTGGGGTCGGGCACAGGCTGGCCCCCGGTGCCCGGGCTCTTGCCCTCGGCTTGGGACTCCCGGGCACAGCCTCACCCCTCCGTCCCCCCGCAGGAACTCTTCGCAGAGTTCGGGACGCTCAAGAAGGCGGCCGTGCACTATGACCGCTCGGGCCGCAGCCTCGGTACGGCCGACGTGCACTTCGAGCGGAAAGCAGACGCTCTGAAAGCCATGAAACAGTACAACGGTGTCCCCCTAGACGGTGAGTCGGGCCCGACCTCTTGTGAACCCCGCCGGGCCAGCGCCTTCCGGAACACGCGCCCGCCGACGCCTTCCACGAGCCGCCCGGGCCACCCGAGTGCAGGGCTGTCGTCGGAAAGACCAAGGTGCTGGTTCTTGTTCCGTCAGGTCACCCACACCTGCCCGCCCCCGAGCACCCGGACGCCCGACCTGGACTGAGGAGGGCTTGCCGCCCTGGCCGCGGTGTCTCCCGCCAGAAGCTCCGGGCGCTGGAGCCCGAGTCTGCATGGAGCCAGGGTGGAGCCGCTGGGTCGCTCAGGGCCTTTGGTTAGAACGAGCCCTCTCACATTCTTTGCCACAGGCCGCCCTATGAACATTCAGCTTGTCACGTCACAGATCGACACCCAGCGAAGGCCTGCCCAGAGGTGAGCGCCGGGCCGGGTGGGGCGGGGGGCCCGGGGCGGGCGCGCCGGCGTCGGGATGGTGACCCGCTCCTCTCTCCGGCAGCATTAGCAGAGGCGGCATGGCCAGGACCCGAGGTTCGGGAGCCTTCGGCGGCGGGGGCGCCCGGAGAGGTGCCCGTGGTGGCAGCCGAGGAAGGGGCAGAGGCGCCGGCAGAAGCGCAAAGCAGCAGCTGTCTGCGGAGGAGCTGGACGCCCAGCTGGACGCCTACAATGCTCGGGTGAGTCCCAGGCTGCGTCGGGGGGACGGGAGCGGGCAGGAGCGGGCTGTGCGGGCGGGAGCGGGCTGCGGGCCTCTGCGCGCTGGACACCTGCCCACTGACTTGCCCCTCTCTTACAGATGGACACTAGCTAAGCCCCGACGACCCCGAGCACTGCAGGACCCAGACGCTTCACCCAAGCTCACGGGAGAGCGACCCTGGGCTGTGGCCAAGATTGCGACATGTTTATTTCTTTTGTGTTTGAAAATAGATTTTACAAGCTCATGTAAAGGCTTTTTGTTTTGTTTTGTTTTGTTTTTTAATTCTGAAACAGACCTGTTTTGTACCGAGTTATTTTTGGGATAAATTTTACTGGTTGCTGTTGTGGGGAAGGTGGCGTTTCCACCTTTGCCATAATAAAAATGTGTGTAGAACTGAGCCGTCTCATCTCTTGGGCGGGGATGGGGCTCACACACTGAGGCCGGCCTGGCCTGGGAGGGTCACACACTGAGGCCGGCCTGGGAGGGTCACACACTGAGGCCGCCCTGGCCTGTGGGGTCACACACTGAGGCCGGCCTGGCCTGGGAGGGTCACACTGAGATTCATTGGTTTAAGGAGGCCAGGGCTGTGGAACTGGACTGCACATGCACTTAGATTGGAGTGAACTCATTGTACACAGTGCATTTGCACTGGTCGAAGAGGGAAAATAATATTGATTTTGCCATTAGTTCAAAATATGTCCATGTGGTCCTCAGACATAGCAGGCAACAGGTTCTGGCAGATCAGGACCACCAACAGCCTAGCTATATAGGACACCTGGGGTCTCCCTAATCCTGGGACCTGCTCTGATACGAAGTGGAGAAAGATGGTACAGACAATGGTGCAGCCTCAGCACGGAATCACAGGGGAAGAAACTGGTGAGCCAGGAGCTGGGGCAACAGAGACCATGGTACAAGTCAAATATAAGAATCCGGAGGGCTTGGCTCAGTGCACTAGCAGCTAAAGTCCTCACCTTAACACGCCGCGATCCCATATTGGCGCCGGTTCTAATCCCAGCAGCCTTACTGCCCATCCTGCTTGTGGCCTGGGAAAGCAGTCCAGGATGGCCTAAAGCCTTGGGACCCTGCACCCGTGTGGGAGATCTGGAGGAAGTTCCTGGCTCCTGGCTTTGCATCAGCTCAGCTCCAGCTGTTGCAGCCACTCGGGGAGTGAATCATTGGACGGAAGATCTTCCTCTCTGTCTCTCCTCCTCTCTGTATATCTGACTTTGCAATGGAAAATAAATCTTAGGGCCCATCGTGGTGGCACAGTGGTTAAAATCCTAGTCTTGCACGCCCAGGAACCCATGTGGGCGCCAGTTCTGTCCCGGCGGCCCTCCCTGCCTGTGGCCCTGGAAGGCAGTCAAGGACAGCCCAAGGCTTTGGGACCCTGAACCCGTGTGGGAGACTTGGAAGAGGCTCCTGGCTTCGGATCGGCATAGCATCGGCCGTTGCTCTCACTTGGGGAGTGAATCATCGGACGGAAGATCTTCCTCTCTATCTCTTCTCCTCTCTGTGTATTTGACTTTGTAATAAAAATAAATAAATCTTTTAAAAGTTATAATTCCCTGAGTCTGTTATTGAAGTGTACATCAGCTGGTCCAGACCACGTCAGTCTGCATCCCATTGTCTGGAAATGTCCAACACTTGCAGTGGGAGCCCGTGTTTGGGGTGAAGTGGGGTGCCTGTTGCAGTGTGTCCTCACCTCTGGGTATGGGAGTGTCTGTTACTCCATCACTATGCATTGCAATCTGCATGATGGTTTCCTCACATTAGAGGGAACGTACAGTATTCGTTCTTCGGAGATTGACTTACTCCTCCAGTTGCAGATGTCAGCCTGCACGCCCACCAGCAGTGAGGGGCCTTTCTCCCCCACGCCCACCAGCAGTGAGGGGCCTTTCTCCCCCACGCACGCCCACCAGCAGTGAGGGGCCGTTCTCCCCCACGCACGCCAGCAGGCGTTGTTAGCAGAGTTCTGAGTGCAGGCCAACCCGACTGGAGTTAAGTGGTACTTCAATGTGGTTTTCTTTTCTATTTTTTTTAAAGATTTATTTATGGGCCCGGTGTAATAGCATAGTCGTTAAAGTCCTCAACTTGCATGCACCAGGATCCCATGTGGTCACTGGTTCTAATCCCGGCAGCCCCACTTCCCATTCAGCTCCCTGCCCGTGGCCTGGGAAAGCAGTCGAGGACGGCCCAAAGCCGTGGGACCCTGCACCCGCGTGGGAGACCTGGAGGAACTTCCTGGATCCTGGCTTTGGATCAGCACAGCATCGGCCGTTGCGCTCACTTGGGGAGTGATTCATAGGATGGAAGATGTTTCTCTCTGTCTCTCCTCCTCTCTGTATATCTGACTTTCCAATAAATAAAGAAATTTTAAAAAAGAAAGAACAACAACAACAAAACAAAAAAACAATTTATTTTTAAAAAATGTATTTAATGAAATAATGAGGGAAAATTTCCCTAATCTAGAGAAAAAATTGGGAAACAAGATCCAGGAGGGGCACAGAACTCCCAACAGGGTTGACCAAAAGCGATCTTCACCACGACACATGATAATCAAGCTCTCTTCAATCGAACATAAGATCCTTAAACGTGCATGTGAAAAAAACAATTGACATATAAAGGAATGCCAATGAAACTCACAGGAGACCTCTCACAGGAAACTCTGCAGGCCAGAGGACACTGCAGCAACATATTCCAGATTCTAAAAGCAAAAAATGTCCATTCCAGGATAGAGTCCCCTGTAAAGCTTTCCTTTGTTTTTGAAAATGAAATAACATGCTTTCGCAGTAAACTTCAAATACTACAGCTCTTCTAACCCGCACACGAGATACGGGAGAACATGTGAAATGCGGAGAACACCACAGGAAAACGGCAACAGAAGACGAGACGAACCAACAACCCAGGATCCCATTGCTAAAGTCACAGGATCAAACTTCCACCCTTTCATGTTAATCGTATTAATCCCGAATGTAAATAACTTAAGACCATCAATCAATCATCTTTGATCAGTAGATTGCATTAAAACACCAATCTATGTGTTGCCTACAGGAGACACTTCTCATCAACAAAAATGAGTGGAAACCGTATCTCATGGATTTTTTATTTTTTTAATTTTGAATTTTAGGATACAATTCTGCAAAGTCCTCCAGGCCCAGTGCTGTGGCCTAGCGGCTAAAGTCCTCGCCTTGAATGTGCCTGGATCCTGCATGGGCGCTGGTTTTAATCCCGACAGCTCCACTTCCCATTTTGCTCCCTGCCTGTGGCCTGGGAAAGCCTAGCGGCTAAAGTCCTTGCCTTGAACTCGCCGGGATCCCAAATGGGCAGCGGTTCTTATCCTACAGCTCCACTTCCCATCCAGCTCCCTGCTTGTGGCCTGGGAAAGCAGTCCAGGACGGCCCAAAGCCTGGGGACCCTGCACCCACGTGGGAGACCCAGAAGAGTCTCCTGGCTTCGGATTGGCGCAGCACCGGCCATTGCGCTCACTTGGGGAGTGAATCATCGGACAGAAGATCTTCCTCTCTGTCTCTCCTCCTCTCTGTATATCTGCCTTTCCAATAAAAATCAAATAAATCTTAAAAAAAAAAAAAAAAACTCCTACATCTGGAGTATCAGAGCAGGTTCAAGCCCTGGCTTGCATTAATTTACTCAGGTGAGAAGCTGAGTGGCACGGCAGCTGTGGTCACCCGCCTAGCTCGCATTGTACGCAGACAGCGTCGTGCTGCTGGGGGAGAGCAGCTAGGGTCCGGCGGCTGTCCTGCTCCTGGGGAGGGCCAAGCTGGCTTAAACTATTGCACTGTGCTGGTGTAGCTATCTATCTTACTGTTTATAAAACAAAATTGATTTATTTTTATTTCAAAGTCAGAGAGGAGGAGAGACAGAGAGGAAGATCTGTCTGTTGATTCACTCTCCAAGTGAGCGCAATGGCCAGAGCTGAGCCGATCTGAAGCCAGGAGCCTGGAGCTTCTTCCAGGTCTCCCATGTGTGGGCCGTCCTCAACTGCCAGTATGGTTGCCTATTCTATTTTTCTTTCTTTTTTTTTTTTTTTAAGATTTATTTATTTATTGGAAAGTCAGATATACAGAGTGGAGGAGAGACAGAGAGGAAGATCTTCCATCCACTGATTTCACTCCCCAAGTAAACGCAATGGCCGATCCAAAGCCAGGAGCCAGGAACCTCTTCCAGGTCTCCCACACAGGTGCAGGGTCCCAAGGCTTTGGGCCGTCCTCCACTGCTTTCCCGGGCCACAGGCAGGGAGCTGGATGGGAAGTGGAGCTGCTGGGATCAGAACCGGTGCCCATATGGGATCGCGGCACGTTCAAGGCGAGGACTTTAGCCACTGGGCCACGCAGCCGGGCCCATAAATAAATCTTTCTTAAAAAAAAAAGTGCGTGGGTAGGGCCCGGCGCGGTGGCACAAGTGGTTAAGGTCCTCGCCTTGCATGCCCGCCCGGGATCCCATATGGGTGCCTGTTTTATCCCAGCAGCCCCACTTCCCTTCCAGCTCCCTGCTTGTGGCCCAGGAAAGCAGTGGAGGACGGCGCAAAGCTTTGGGACACTGCACCCGTGTGGGAGACCTGGAAGAGTCTCCTGGCTTCAGATCGGCATAGCATCGGCCATTGATGTCACTTAGGGAGTGAATCATCGGACGGAAGATCTTACTCTCTGTCTCTCCTCTCTGTATATCCACCTTTCCAATAAAAAACATAATAATAATTTTAAAAAGTGGATGTTTCTAAGGATAATTCTGCCATTTGTTTTACCTAAAAACAATAGAAGTTCCTACTACAATTCTTATTCTACAACTTAATCTTGTATCACAAAGAAAAGGAGAACCTAAGAAGAAAGGAAAGAATGAAAGCCTAAATACAGGTCCCTTCATTAGCATAAGGTCCATGGGGACAGCCAAGACAGTAGGAATAATAGAAGGCCCTTTTGCAAGACATTATTATTGACATTAATCTCCAAGCTCACATTGAGTAAAAAATCCAACTCCACAGTAGCAAACAATGCCTGGATGGATTAGAGTTCTTCCACAGGGTGGTCCGGTGTCCATGCCAAGGAAGCTGCATTCAGGTGGCTGCAGAGACTCCGCAGGGCCCTGCCATACAGCGGGAAGTTCCCTGTGGCCCTGCCTGCAATGGAACAATACTCTTCACACCTTCATGTTCCCCATATCCACTGCACGGACCGCAACACAGTAGGAACAGTCAGCCCAGCCTGGCTTCTCCCCGAACTAGCTCACATGAGGCCCACAGGTGTTGCAGCCCTGCACACACTGGTGTGCCCGTCTAACTCAGGCTCTGCAGTGGGAGTGGTAGTCCAGCACGGGAACCTCCACATTCCCCCCACTGCCTTGGCCCCCTCACCCTGGTTCTCACACGTGCTGGTTGGGTGCTGTGGCCCAGTCTGGCATGGCCCGCCTTGCCTAGGCATTTGGCAGGGGGTGCTGTAGCCTGGCTCAGCCCGGCCCATCTCCAATTCCAGTTCCCATTGGTGGGGGTTACAGCCTAGTCCAGCCCAGCTGTGGGTGCTGCTTCTAATCCCAGCAGCCCTGTTTCCCATCCAGCTCCCTGCCTGTGGCCTGGGAAAGCAGTCAGGGACGGTCCAAAGCCTTGGGACCCTGCACCTGCATGGGAGACCTGGAAGAAGCTCCTGGCTCTGGATTAGTTCAACTCTGGCCGTTGTGGCCACTTGGGGAGTCAACCACTGGATTGAAGATCTTCTGTTTCTCCTCCTCTTTCTAAATCTGCCTTTCCAATAAAACTAAATAAATCTTAAAAAAAAGTTATACTTGGGCCCGGCGCGGTGGCGCAAGTGGTTAAAGGTCCTCGCCTTGCACCCCCGGGATCCCATATGGGCGCCGGTTCTAATCCCGGCAGCCCCGCTTCCCTTCCAGCTCCCTGCCTGTGGCCTGGGAAAGCAGTCGAGGACGGCCCAAAGCCTTGGGACCCTGCACCCGCGTGGGAGACCCGGAAGAGGCTCCTGGCTTCGGCTCGGCATAGTATCGGCCCGTTGCGCTCACTTGGGGAGTGAATCATCGGACGGAAGATCTTCCTCTCTGTCTCTCCTCTCTGTATATCCGCCTTTCCAATGAAAAAATAATAAAAATAAATCTTTAAAAAAAAAAAAAAGTTATACTCGTACAATTTCAATGAAATATGAAAAAAAAAAAAAAAGAGCCAGACGGGCCCGCCAGTGGGGTCTAGCAGCTAAGTCCTCGCCTTGAACGTGCCAGGATCCCATATGGGTGCTGGTCCTAATCCCGGCTGCTCCACTTCCTGTCCAGCTCCCTGCCTGTGGCCCGGGAAAGCAGTGAGGACGGCCCAAAGCCTTGGGACCCTGCACCTGTGTGGGAGACCTGGGAGAGGTTCCTGGTTCCCAGCTTCGGATTGACGCAGCAGCACCAGCCATTGCAGCTCACTTGGGGAATGAATCATCGGATGCAAGATCTTCCTCTCTGTCTCTCCTCCTCTCTGTATATCTGACTTTGTAATTAAAAAAAAACCAAAACCTTAAAAAAAAAAAAAAAGAGCCAGAGAGAATATAGGATGAGCCGGGCTAGATTTGCACCTTCTGAGGCTTGCGGGCGTTGGGTCCCAGGGTGGACTAAGCAGGGCTGGGCTGCAGAACCCAATAGTGAGAGCCAGAATGGTGTGGACTGGTCATGCAAGGCCACTGTACCTGCCAGGATAGAGGTGACCAAGTCAGGCTGCACCCCGGATCCACCAGCATGTGCATGAGTTTTGCCACTGGGAATGGACCTCAGCTCAGGGAACTCCTCTGCCAGGACGGAGTCCCTGTAGATGAGCACACAATGGAGGCCGGAGCAGCTCGGACCAGGCCAGGTTACAGTGCCCGCTGGCATGCCTGTGGGTCAGGTCTGTGGGCCTGCCAGGCTAGGCCAGTTCTTAGCCTCCACTGGCAGATGCGAGAACCAGAACTGGGTACAGGACAGGCCAGGTTGGGCCACAAGGCAGACAGTTCACATTAGGGCCAGGACTGGGGTGGTGGGGCTGGGCTGCTGCACTTGCCATGAGCTGGAGCTGGAGGCAGGCTGGGCCAAGCCAGGCTGTAGCTCTTGCTGGTGAATGCCAAGGTGAGGTGAGCCATGCTAGTCTGAGCCCCATTCCCACCAGCACAGGTAAGGCCTGGGAAGAGGGCATGGGGGAGCTGGGTTGGTTCCCCTGTTGGGCCACTGTTCCTATTGGTGACAGTGAGAACTGGGACTTGGGGCAGACCAGGTTGGGTGGGCTGCCAAGCCCATTGGTTGACATGTGAGCCAGGCTGGGCTAGCAACCGTATCTACTGCGGCATGTGTGAGCCAGAGTAAGTGCAGGCTGGTCGGGCTTTGCAACAGCATCAGCTGGAAGTGCTGGGGATGGAGGAAGCCCTGTCAAGCTGGTCTGCAGAACCTCCTGGAGAGTGCAAGATCCAGGAGTGGGAGTGGGGTTAGTCGGGACAGTGGGCCCCTCCCTGGTGGGCTGCAGCCTCCTTGGTGAGCTTGAGGGCCAGGGAGGGCATGGGCCTGGTTCCTGCCAGAATGAATACGGGCTGGACAGTGGGGTCAGTCTGACTGAGCTAAGCTCCAAGACTCACTGATACACGTCAGAGTCAAACGGGGTGCGGGACAGACTGGACCATTCTGCTGCACACAGCAGCATGCATTGGACCTGTGACTGGGGGCAGGCCTGGTGGGTTTTATTGGTTGTGGTTGTTTTTTTTTTTTCCTTTTAAGGCTTATTTATGTGTAGGGCCCAGCCTGATAGCATAGTGATTAAAGTCCTCGCCTTGCACGTGCTAGGATCCCATATGGGCGCTGGTTCTAATTCCGGCGGCCCAGCTTCCCATCCAGCTCCCTGCCTGTGGCCTGGGAAAGCAGTGGAGGACGGCCCAAAGCCTTGGGACCCTGCATCTGCATGGGAGAATTGGAAGAAGCTCCTGGCTTCAGATCAGCTCAGCTGCAGCTGTTGCTGTCGCTTGGGGAGTGAACCAGTGGATAGATCTTCCTCTCTGTCTGTCCGCCTCTCTGTATATCCACCTTTCCAATAAAATAAATCAATCTTTAAAATAAAAAAAAGGGCCCGGCGCGGTGGTACAAGTGGTTAAGGTCCTCGCCTAGCACGCCCGGGATCCCATATGGGCGCCAGTTCTAATCCCAGTAGCCCCGCTTCCCTTCCAGCTCCCTGCCTGTGGCCTGGGAAAGCAGTCGAGGACGGCCCAAAGCTTTGGGACCCTGCACCCGCGTGGGAGACCCGGAAGAGTCTCCTGGCTTCGGATTGGCATAGCATCGGCCGTTGTGCTCACTTGGGGAGTGAATCTCGGACGGAAGATCTTCCTCTCTGTCACTCCTCTCTGTATATCTGCCTTTGCAATAAAAAATAGTAAGAATAAATCTTTAAAATCAGGGGTGCAGCGCTGGCTGGCACAGGAGCCACAGGCATAGCACAGGGACATGGGGCCAACCCACATGATGCACTCGGCAGCTCTGAGAACTGTTTTTTTTTTTTTTAAAAAAAGATTTATTTTTATGATTTTTTTTTTATTGGAAAGGTGGATATACAGAGAGGAGAGACAGAGAGGAAGATCTTCCATCAGATGATTCACTCCTTAAGTGACCTCAATGGCCGATGCTATGCTGATCCGAAGCCAGGAGCCTCTTCCAGGTCTCCCACGCTGGTGCAGGGTCCCAAAGCTTGGGCCGTCCTCGACTGCTTTCCTGGGACACAGGCAGGGAGCTGGAAGGGAAGCGGGACTGCCGGGATAGAATAGGCGCCCATATGGGATCCCGGGCAGGCGTGCAAGGTGAGGACCTTAACCACTTGTGTCACCCTGCCAGGCCCTGAGAACTGTTTTGAGACATAGTTTTTTTCTTAAGAGTTTATTTTTGTTGGAAAGCAGATTTGCAGAGAGGAGAAAGATCGTTTTTCCTGGTCATTCCCCACGTTGGACACAACAGTTGGAGCTGAGCTGATCCAAAGCCAGGAGCCAGGAGCCTCCTTCTGGTCTCCCACATGGGTGCAGGGTCCCAATGCTTTGGGCCGTCCTCCACTGCTTTCCCAGGCCACAGGCAGGGAGCTGGATGGGAAGTGGGGCTGCCGGGACACAGACCTGCGCCCACATGGGATCCTGGTGCTGCAAGGTGAGGATGCAGCCCTAGGCCTGATGCAGAGATGTCGCTACTGCAGGGGTCAGTGTCCTCACCTCAGGGGCTGGGTCAGGAGCCCTGGCGCCATCGGGACTCCCAGCAGTGGGACCAGCACCTGCCGCCTCGCAGAGCGCTCCAAGGGCAGCCCGGGTGAGGAGGAGCTGCAGGCGGGATGTCACAAGGCCGGCATGAGCAGGATTCCTGAACCAGGCAGGTGAGCGCCCGAGGGGCCAGTCACAGGTGCGCCCACCGGCTCGGGGTCGGGGGTCTCCCTCCCTCCCACGCGCTAGGGGTCAGGGGCTCCCCGCGGGTCCCATCCTCTCAGGGTCGGGGTCTCTCTCCCACGCGCTCGGGGTCGGGGGCTCCCCCGGGGCCCACCCTCTCAGGGTCGGGGTCTCCCTGCCCCACCCACGCGCTAGGGGTCGGGGTCCTCCCCGCGGGACCCACCCTCAGTGTCGGGGTACCCCTGCCCGGTCCGACGCGCTCGGGGGCGGGGGCTCCCCCGGGGCCCACCGGGACGGGGTGTGCGGGGCTCGGCGCGCGCGGACACAACAAAGGAGCAGCCCTCGGGCCAGCGTGCGGGCGGGCGTCCGCGGCGTGCCCCGGCGGCGGGCGGCGCGGAGACGAGGGGGCTGGCCCGCCGCCCGCCGCCTGAGCAAGGGCCCGCCCGGCGACGCGGCCCGCAAGATGGCGCCCGCCGCGCCGCGCACGCGCAGCCCCCGGCCCGCCCGGCGGGAGCGGAAGTGGCGCCGACCCCGGAAGCGGCGCTCGGGCGGGGCGGCGGGCGGCGGTCGTGGTCGCGGTCGCGTGCGGGAGCGTGCGGGAGCGGCGGCGGCAGCGGCGGGGCGAGCGCGAGCGGCGGGTCCAGCGTCCGGTGAGTGCCCCGCCGAGGCCCGGGCGGCGCGAGGGCGGGGGGCGCCCCGGGGCCGCGCGCAGCCACCGCCCTGCTGCCCCGCAGGCGTCCGGGAGCGGCGAGCATGGCCGAGCAGGAGCCCACGGCCGAGCAGCTGGCGCAGATCGCCGCCGAGAACGAGGAGGACGAGCACTCGGTCAACTACAAGCCGCCGGCGCAGAAGAGCATCCAGGAGATCCAGGAGCTGGACAAGGACGACGAGAGCCTGCGCAAGTACAAGGAGGCGCTGCTGGGCCGCGTGGCCGTGTCGGCCGGTGAGTGCGCGCCGCACCTGCCGCCCCGCGCGCGCCCCGCGCCCCGCTGACCCTCCGACCCCCGTCCCCGCAGACCCCAGCGTGCCCAACGTGGTGGTGACGCGCCTCACGCTCGTGTGCAGCTCAGCGCCCGGGCCCCTGGAGCTGGACCTGACGGGTGAGTGGGCGCGGCCTCGGGGTGCGGGCCCGGGGGTGCACGGCCTGGGTGGGTCCGGAGATGCACGGCCTGGGGGTGCACGGCCTTGGTGTGTTCCGGGGGTGCACGGACTGGGTGGGTCCGGGGAGCGCGCAGCCCGGGGGTGCACGGCCGGGTGTGTTCCGGGGATGCATGGCCTGGGGGTGCACGGCCTGGGTGGGTTCTGGCCTGGGTGCACCCGACCCGTGAGTGAGCGCTGCCTGGGTGCACGCCGCCTTGGGGAGACCCGGTGTCCCCAACACTAGCTGGCCGCCTCCCTGCAGGTGACCTGGAGAGCTTCAAGAAGCAGTCGTTCGTGCTGAAGGAGGGTGTGGAGTACCGGATAAAGATCTCCTTCCGGGTAAGGGCGGCCGGGGAGCCTGGGATACCCGGGGCAGGGCCAGGGTCGGGGCACCCAGCTGACCCCCGGTGGCGCCCACAGGTGAACCGTGAGATCGTGTCAGGCATGAAGTACATCCAGCACACCTACAGGAAGGGCGTCAAGAGTGAGTGAGGGGCCGGCCGTGGGCGTGGGCGTGGGCGAGGGCCGGCACCGCTGGCCGCTGATCCAGCTCACCCTCACACCCGCAGTCGACAAGACCGACTACATGGTGGGGAGCTACGGGCCCCGCGCCGAGGAGTACGAGTTCCTGACGCCCATGGAGGAGGCGCCCAAGGGCATGCTGGCGCGTGGCAGTTACAGCATCAAGTCCCGCTTCACCGATGACGACAAGACGGACCACCTGTCCTGGGAGTGGAACCTCACCATCAAGAAGGAGTGGAAGGACTGAGACGGACACGGACGGAGCCTCCCCGTACCAAAGTGCCGACAGGCCACTCCCCCGCGGCCCTGCCACTCGGCTCTGCCCGGCCCCTCAGCCCTCCTGTGCCCACAGCTCCAGTGCCCAGCCCCTCAGCCCTCCTGTGCCCACAGCTCCACAGGCCAGCCTCTCAGTCCTCCTGTGCCCTACACTCAGCCACTCACCCTCCCTGTGCCCACCACCTGGCTCCTCAGCCCTCCTGTGCCCGTTGCCCAGCCCCTCAGCTCTCCTGTGCCCACAGCTCCACAGGCCAGCTCCTCAGACCTCCTGTGCCCACCACTCAGCCACTCACCCTCCCTGTGCCCACCACCTGGCTCCTCAGCCCTCCTGTGCCCGTTGCCCAGCCCCTTAGCTCTCCTGTGCCCACAGCTCCACTGCCCAGCCCCTCAGTCCTCCTGTGCCCACCACCCGGCCCCTCACCTTTCCTGTGCCCACCGCCTAGCCCTTTGGCTCTCCTGTGCCCACAGCTCCACCGCTCAGCTCCTCAGCCCACCCGTGCCCACCTCCCACTCTGCTTCCCTTCAGGTCCCTCCCCTGCCGTGCCGAGGTCCTGGCCTGGAGAACGGGGCAGGGCCACCCGTGGGGAGCACAAGCCCTTGCAGGCACAGAGTGTGTAATGCCAGGCCTCTGGGGGCTTCCCTCTGCTTGTTCCCTCCCCATGCCACCACTTCATCTGTTGCTGTCAGTGACCGTCTAACCATGATGCCTTAAGATGTGGAACGTGTCCCGGGAGCCTTACTAACTCCCTGTGTCTGCATGAGCATGTGGTCCCCTGTCCCGCCCTGTCTGGTCCCCGGGACTGGGGGGGGCATGAGCTGCCCCCAGCCCTTGGCCCCGCCAGCCCCTCCCCTCCCGGCCAGGGCTGTGGGGATGGCTTCATGCTTGGGGCAAACCAAATTGCCAGAACTCCAGGCACCAGCTGCTCCATGGCGGGTGGCAGGGACCCTCCCCACCTCTGCCTCTGTCCCTGTGGGCAGCACTCGGCCCCTCCCCCACAGAGACCCCCTGACAGCCAAGGCCCACAAAGCCGGCGGCCGAGCCTTACACCCCTTGGGCCGGCGCCTGGGTCCTCGTGCCTGGGCCCGTCAGTAGTTCAGTATTTATTGCCTCCGTCTGCGTCCTCTGGGCCGGCCTTTCTCCCCCGGACCTAGCCAGGACCAACCTGGGACCAAGCGCCCGCTGCCGGGAGCTGTCGCCTGTACCTGCCTCTCCCCCCACCCCCCACCCCCCGCGTGGTGTCTGCCAGAGGAGCCCTGCCTCTCCTCCGACTGGGAAATAAACTCCCCTCAAGGAACCAAAGCTGTGCTGCCATCCTTGGGGCTGAGGGTTGGGGGCAGGCGGCTCGGGGCCAGGGGCACCCAGGCTGGGGTTTGGGGGCAGGCAGCTCCAGGCCAGGGGCCCCCGCCCAGTACATGGGAAACAGAATCTGGCACCAGCCCAGGCAGGAAGCTGTGCTGGGCTTTGCAGAGGAAGTGGGGCGCCGGGAGGAGGGCTCCCCAGCTGGTGCTGGAGCCTGCCCCCTTGCGGTTGTCTGGCGTCCATGCCTGACCATAGGATTCTTCAGGGGCCACTTCACAGATTCCTGAGGGTGACCTGGTAGGCAGCCCAGTGCTGCAGGAGGCACTGCCATGCTGGCGCGTCCAGCGTGGAGCTGTGGTGCCTAGCGCCCCAGGGCTGGTACCCCAAGCCCCTGACGGGGGAAGCACCGAGACTGGCCCTGGGCCCGTGGGGAAGGTGGCGGCTTCCTGTGGAGGCCTCCCTGGGCTCCTGGGCGGTGCAGGAGATCTGCCTCCAGGCCACCAGTCAGTGCGGCTCCCGCAGACCTGCGGCCACAGGGTGCTGGCTCTGTGCAGGCTGCGCCTCCTGCGACAGCCCCAGACTCAGCCCCGGAAGCGCTGGGGGGAGAAGGCAGGTGGTAGCCAAGGTTCTCACCAGCCTCCCCAGGGCTGCCCCTCCCCCGGCCCCCAGACTGGGGGTGGGCGAGCACGGGCAGGCAGCCAGGCAAGCGGCACAGCCCAGCGACAGCTTTCCCACCTCTGCCCAGCTTGGCGCCTGTAGGTGCACTGTGGGCTCCCGGGCTCCTGTCGGGCTCAGCACCTCCCACGGGGACCCACGCCCCACACCCCCCAGCTCCCGTGAACTCAGACCCCAAGCTCCAAGCTGTCCAGGCACGTGGCCAACGGCCAGGACTTTGTCCCAGCTCCTCCCCTGCCCCAGGACACTGTGAGGTGGCACCCACAGAATGTGACGTGTCTCTTGGGTCCCAAGTCTGACCTGATCCTCCTGGTGCCAAGGATCACCCCAGAGCCAGTGGCTCAGCCTGATACTCCTACCCAGGCCCTGCCTGCCCGCCCACCCCTGGTGCTCCCCCTCAGGAATGCCCAGGTTTTCACTGCCTGAAACCCCCATATGGCCTTCTTCCATAGTGGTGGCAGACTGTAACCAGCAGGTGTAATCCCCTATGGGTGTTGCTACCCCCACCACCCCACATATGGGGCTGACAGGTGACTGAGAACCCTTCCCTGCCCAGCAGCACCCCTGGGCCCCGGCTCACCCCTCTGCACGGGGCTGCCACTGGCACCCTTGCTACTGTCTGGCCCAGGGGCAGCAGTGACCAGGGCATCCCGGGTGACACCCCCCCACCAGGCCAACTGAGGAACCGGGCTGTGGCTCAATGGGATTGTGGGTGGACAGGGAGCCATCCTGGCTGGCCGGGACCTCCTGCCCCCGTGAGTCCTCACCAGCCAAGGCGCACGGGCTACGGGGCTCTGTCGGCCCTGCCCCTCTGACTTGGGGTTCTCAGCCATCCCCCTCCTGTCTTGGGGTTCTTAGCCTACCCCCCCCCCTTTTTTTTATACTGCAAAGTCAGATGGACAGAGAGGAAGATCTTCTGTCCAATGATTCACTCTCCAAGTGACCACAACGGCCGGTGCTGAGCCGGTCTGAAGCCAGGAGCCAGCAGCCTTCTCCAGGTCTCCCACGCGGGTGCAGGGTCCCAAGGCTTTGGGCCGTCCTCGACTGCTTTCCCAGGCCACAGGCAGGGAGCTGGATGGGAAGTGGAGCTGCTGGGATTAGAACCGGCGATCATATGGGATCCTGGCACATTCAAGGAGATGACTTTAGCCATCGCAGTCTGCCCCATCCCCCTCTGACTTGGGGTTCTCAGCCCTCCGCCGTCTGACTGGGGGTCCTCTCAGCCCTCCGCCGTCAGACTGGGGGTCCTCTCAGCCCTCCGCCGTCTGACTGGGGGTCCTCTCAGCCCTTGCCCACAGTGGTTTCGCAATAGCTGGTTTGCAGCCCCTGTGCAGAGGCCCTGGGAGGGTGCACCTGCCGCCTCGCGGAGGGCGCAGTGACCGGAAGGTCAAGTGACGGGCGGCCCACACAGCCCAGTACGGTCAGGGGGACATGGGGGGACCGGCCGAGCCCTTCTGACTTGGGGTCTTCTCACAACTAGGGGCGTCGGCGACCGCTCGGCCCCGACACCGGAGGGACCGAGGTGGGTGCGCGTCAGGGATCTCCGGGCAAAGGGTGGCGGCGGCAAGCCACCGGGGACACAGCCGCCATGAGCAACGACGCGGGCCGCGGGGCGGACAAAGGAAGCGGCCCCACAGGACGGACCCCGCGTCCTCAGACAGGCGCCGCACGGGCCGCACGCGCGCCGGAAGCGACGTCAGCTGGCGTCCGGGGGCGGTGCCAGTTAGGAGTACGCGGTCCACTCAGAATTCAACACGAGGGGTTTCGGAGGCGCAGGAGCAGCTCCGCCCCCGGGTCGGGGCGGGCGGGCGGAGGCGCCGCACTGCCACGTTCGACGAAGGAAGGCGCGGGGTGCGTGCAGCTTCCGGCCAATCAGGAGCCGCGGAGCGCGGACGGCAGACAGGAGCAGCCAGTCCAGGCCAGTGCAAGGTGTGCCAGAAATCCACCAATCACAAGTCGAGAGACAGAAAGTTCTCCTGCGGGAGCCAATGACAAGCAGCAGGACACGGCGAGCGCGAGCCCTCGGCCAATCCCGGGTGAGGGCGGGGTCGGCCTGCTCAGCGTTCCCGAGGCCGGGGCCTTGCCTTTTGTGCGCAGCCAATGGCAGCGGGCCGGGGGCAGGCTGCCCAGGGCGCGCACCAATCGTCGGCCGCTCGGGGTGGTGCGGGCGCGCGCGGGCGGGGGCGCGCGGGAGGGGCCGGGCGCGCGCGCCGCCCGGGTTGATAAAGGCGCGGCCGGGGCCGCCGCGCGCTCTCGTCGCCTCTGCCGTCCCGGCGGCGCCAACCGAACCCCTCGCCGCCCGCGATGCTGCGCCGCGCTGTTCTGTGCCTCGCCCTGGCCGTGGTGGCCCGGGTGGGCGCCGACGCCCCCGAGGAGGAGGACAACGTCCTGGTGCTCAAGAGCAGCAACTTCGCAGAGGCGCTGGCGGCCCACAAGCACCTGCTGGTGGAGTTCTGTGAGTGCGAGCTCGGCCGCGGCCTGGGCAGGGCCGGGGTGTCCGTCCCGGGGCCGCGTCCTTGCCCGGGTGGCGAGCGGACTCCGTCGGCCCCGGTGCAGGACCCCTGGGATGGGCCGTGGGCTGGGCCTGCTGGACCTGGGATGGGGCCGGCCGTGAGCTGGACCTGTAGGACCCCTGGAATGAGGCCGCCCGTGACCTGGACCTGCTGGACCCTTGGGAGGGAGCCGGTCGTGGGCTGGACCTGCAGGACCCTTGGGATGAGGCCGGCCATGAGCTGGACCTGCTGGACCCTTGGGAGGGAGCCGGTCGTGGGCTGGACCTGCAGAACCCCTGGGATGGGGCTGTGGGCTGGACCTGCTGGACCCCTGGGATGGGGGCGGCCGTGGGCTGGACCTGCAGGACCCCTGGGATGGGGGCGTCTGTGGGCAGGACCTGCTGGACCCCTGGGATGGGGGCGGCTGTGGGCTGGGCCTGCTGGACCCCTGGGATGGGGGCGGCCGTGGGCAGGACCTGCAGGACCCCTGGGATGGGGGCGTCTGTGGGCTGGACCTGCAGGACCCCTGGGATGGGGCGTCTGTGGGCAGGACCTGCAGGACCCCTGGGATGGGGGCGGCCGTGGGCTGGACCTGCAGGACCCCTGGGATGGGGGCGGTCGTGGGCTGGACCTGCAGGACCCCTGGGATGGGGGCGGCAGTGGGCTGGACCTGCAGGACCCCTGGGATGGGGCCGGCTGTGGTGGGCTGGAACTGTTGGACCTGGTGATCAGCAGCACTGCCTGCACCTCTCCTGGCCCCTGTCGCTGTGTCCCGCTGGCATCCTGCCTAAGGGCCTCGTGGGCGTCCCGGACTGACAGCCTTCCCGGGTCAAGCATACGGCTGCCAGGGAGCATGGGGCCAGCGCCCTGCTGTGCACAGGCAGGGGGTTATCTCAGCAAGCTGATAAGGCACTTCCAGGCCCTGGGAATGGCTAGTCAGTGCAGCGTTGTCGTCTCTTCTTGTAGATGCCCCTTGGTGCGGCCACTGCAAAGCGTTGGCTCCCGAGTATGCCAAGGCGGCGGCCAAGCTCAAGGCCGAGGGCTCCGACATCCGCCTGGCCAAGGTGGACGCCACCGAGGAGTCAGACCTGGCCCAGCAGTACGGCGTGCGCGGCTACCCCACCATCAAGTTCTTCAAGAACGGTGACACCACGTCCCCCAAGGAGTACACAGGTGTGTGGCCTGGCAGGGCCTGTCCATGGGGAACACGGGAATGTGGTCAGGGCCCCGGGAGCCACGCCCCGGCCACTCCTGGAGGCCCTGCCCCATGCTGGGCGTTGCCTGTTTGTCCTGTTCACCTTTGAAACAGGAAGGCCAGGCCCCGCCGCGGGACTGGGGTAACACAGAGCGGCTGACTGCTGCTGGGTTTTGTAACCAGGCCTCAGCACCCAGTTTGCCACCTGCCAGCCCTCCGATGTGGGGAGCCTGCCTTGACACACCTGCCTGTGGTGCCATCAGGGTCAGCCTTGGAGGGGGTGGACTCGAGGGCCACTTGTGGTGCAAACCCCAGGATTGGCCAGGGGTTACAGGAGAAAGCCACTTGCTATCCGTTAGTCTGGCATGACCATGCGGTGAAGGATGGGGCCACAGCCATGGCCTGTGCCACACTGTGGTGGGGCGGGCTGAGGGCCCGGGCTGCTGGGCACACGCCTGCCTAAGCTGATCCCGTGCGGCATCGCAGCTGGCAGGGAGGCGGACGACATCGTGAACTGGCTGAAGAAGCGCACAGGCCCGGCTGCCACCACCCTGCCGGACGTCGCCGCTGCCGAGTCCCTGGTGGAATCCAGCGAGGTGGCGGTCATAGGCTTCTTCAAGGTACGGGGGTCGCTGAAGATGGGGCGCCCGTAACATCGGGGGCGGGTGCCTCGACGCCTGCTACCTCGGGCTTCGCTTGCTGCAGAACATGGAGTCGGAGGCTGCCAAGCAGTTCCTGCTGGCCGCAGAGGCCATCGACGACATTCCATTTGGGGCCACAACCAGCAGCGACGTGTTCTCGAAGTACCAGCTGGGCCAGGACGGGGTCGTTCTCTTCAAGAAGGTAGGTGGCCCTGGTCCAGGGACAGGCGGGGGTGCCCGTGTGGGACGGCAGCTCAGCTTGGAGACTCCTTGTCTCCGGCAGCCTGGGCCCCGTGAGCTGCTCTCAGGACATGGTCAGGGTGTGAGCATCGAGGATCCAGGTGGGAGAATGGGAGCCCTGTGGGGAACCGGACCCGCAGGCTCTGTGTGTGGTTGCTGGGCAGGAGGGCTCTGCGCTGTGTGTCCCAGGAAGCCATGCTGGCTGGGGCAGGGCCAGGACGGAAGCATGGGCGTCCTTTGACACTTCTGCTCCTGGGGAAGGGGCTTGCTGAGTTAGGTCCGGGGGGCTGAGCAGCAGAGCGCTCTGGGTCTGAAGGGTCCCGGCCCCTCGGCAGGAGCTGTGGTCTCTGCTCGGGCTGTGCCCGTCGCCTGGAGGTTGTGTGGCTTGGGGATGGGCCGAAACTTGGAGCGTCGTGCAGTCTGGGCTGCGTGGCCATGGACAGGCAGTCTGCCTGGGCTGCTGCTGGGCAGTGGGCAGCCCTCTTCATGGAGGGAAGCCTGGCACAGCCAGCCCAGTACAGCAGATGGTGGCCAGCGACCAGGCCTCAGGTCTGCACGGCTGGGCTCTGTTCTGAGCAGCCGCTGGCTGCACTTCCTCATTCCCGGAGGTGAGCTGGCCTTCCTGTCCGTGGGGAAGCGTGTGGCAGCCCAGTGGGCTCTGCAGCTCAGCCGGCCGGAGTGGGTCCACTGGGGCTTTGAGCTCACTGTCCAATTTGGAGTTACTCGCTGCTGGTGACTTTAGTTTAAAGACCTATTTTTCTTTGGAAGGTGGTTACAAAGAGAATTAGAGAGGGGCTTTGATCTGCTGGTTCACGCCCCGAATGGCTGCAGTGGTTGGAGCGGAGTGATCCAAAGCTGGAAGTTTCTTCCTGGTCTCCTGTGGGGGGTGGGGCCTAAGCCCCGGGGCCGGACTGCCCTGCTTTCCCAGGTGCAGTGGCAAGGGGTTGGATCAAATGTGGACGGCTGGGACTCACACCAGCACCCACATGGGATGCCAGAGCTGCAGATAGAGTCTTAACCTTGTGTGTCATGACCTGAGGCCTGGAGACCGGCCTTACGGAGGTATTAGCGGTGTGGGGCCAGCACCTCCCTCCCCCGGCCTGGGTCCTGGCCTGCTGTGACCACAGCCCACACCTCTGGCAGCAGGGCCCTGCGGGAGGTGGTTGGCTGTATCACTTGTCATCATTGCTGTGAGAGGAAAGGCTGGGAAGCTAACCCACTCTGCTTGCTTATGTGGTGGCCCGAGGCCTGCTGGCTGGGCCCACACCACGTGTGGTTTGGGAGGCACGGCTTGGAGCGTGCTGTGGAGCCCAGGGGCAGCTGTCAGGCCTACTGGACACTTCAGTGTCAGGGAGCAAGAAGCCTCCCCAGGCAAGGTGAGGGATGGGGCTCAGCTGACGTCCTCGCCTGCTGGTCTGTGGGTTGGGAGCTGTTCCTGGGCAACAATGCAGGCTGGGCCATGACCCCGCAGCCCTCGCCCTACGAGCTGGCACGTGGGTGGGCATTGTGGCGTGCAACGAACGCCTCGTCCAGCACTTCCCTGGCACTCGGGGTGCGTAGGGCAGGGCTGGCTGTGGGCCTTGAATGCCAGCACAGGGGTGGCGAGCAGGAGGAGGATTCAACAAGCCCAGACACTCCGCAGGCAGAGGAGGCATGCTGATCGTTCCACCACGAGGGTGCTGGCCCCAGCACTCGGCTAGCTTTGGCCAGAGGGCCAGCAGCGGCGGATAGGGGCTGTCTTGCCACTAATGTACTTCCCTCATGCGGAGGGGATGCAAGCCAGGCCCTGGGTTCCTTGAGGACAAAGTATCCTGTCCCAGCTACAGTGGGCAGCCCAGGGAAGGGAGGAGCCGGGTCGAGGTCTCTGTCGTGGGAGGAGACTGGGTCCCTGGACTTGACTTGGTGTGGGCGCCCCTGGCAGCACCCTGCCACCCTGCCACAGAGCACCACCCTGGGACCCCTCTGTGTCCACAGTTTGATGAAGGACGGAATGACTTCGAGGGGGAGGTCACCAAGGAGAAACTGCTGGACTTCATCAAGCACAACCAGCTCCCGCTGGTCATCGAGTTCACGGAGCAGGTGGGGCAGTGGGAGGCCTCGGCTGGCGTGGGCCCTGCGGTCAGCGGCTTAGACCAGACACCCCAAAGATCTTTGAGGGTGCAGTGGGCGGTGGGAGGCCTCGGCTGGCGTGGGCCCTGCGGTCAGCGGCTTAGACCAGACACCCCAAAGATCTTTGGGGGTGCAGTGGGCGGTGGGAGGCCTCGGCTGGCTCACACCAGGTGCCCGTGTTTGCAGACGGCCCCGAAGATCTTTGGAGGGGAGATCAAGACGCACATCCTGCTCTTCCTGCCCAAGAGCGTGTCCGACTACGACGCGAAGCTGAGCAGCTTCAAGCAGGCAGCCGCCGGCTTCAAGGGCAAGGTGGGCCCCCACACGCAGCATGCACACACGCCTGCACACGCGGACACACAGGGCCAGGGTCTCAGCGCCGCCTCCTCTCCCCAGATCCTGTTCATCTTCATCGACAGCGACCACACGGACAACCAGCGGATCCTCGAGTTCTTTGGGCTGAAGAAGGCGGAGTGCCCGGCCGTGCGGCTCATCACCCTGGAGGAGGAGATGACCAAGTACAAGCCGGAGTCGGACGAGCTGACGGCCGACAAGATCACCGAGTTCTGCCACCGCTTCCTGGAAGGCAAGATCAAGGTGCGGGTGGCAACGCGCTGCTGCTGGGGCCTCCTCCCCGGGCGGGCTGGCGGGTGTGTGGCAGGCGCCTCCCTGCGCGGCCGTGACCATGCCTGCCCGTGCAGCCCCACCTCATGAGCCAGGAGCTGCCCGAGGACTGGGACCGGCAGCCGGTGAAGGTGCTGGTGGGGAAGAACTTCGAGGAGGTGGCCTTCGACGAAAAGAAGAATGTTTTCGTGGAGTTCTGTAAGTGAGGGCCCCCACGGCGTGCCACTCGCTCCGGGGTCTGCACGGGCCTTCAGAGCCATCTCCTTTGCAGACGCCCCGTGGTGTGGTCACTGCAAGCAGCTGGCCCCCATCTGGGACAAGCTGGGAGAAACGTACAAGGACCATGAGGACATTGTCATCGCCAAGATGGACTCGACAGCCAACGAGGTGGAGGCGGTGAAAGTGCACAGCTTTCCCACGCTCAAGTTCTTCCCCGCGAGCCCGGATAGGACAGTACGTGCCCGGGAGGTGGGGGCGAGGGAGGGCTGCCCGCCGGGCCAGGACCCACTCCAGCTCCGCGCTGCCCCTCGGCCACAGGTCATCGACTACAACGGCGAGCGGACCCTGGAGGGCTTCAAGAAGTTCTTGGAAAGTGGCGGCCAGGATGGGGCAGGCGACGACGATGTGAGTGAGCCCAGGCCGGACCCCAAAGCTGGAGGGGGCACTCCCTGACCTTGGCTTAGGCTCTGCCCCGGGGGGGACCTGCATGCGGTGGTTTGAGAGAACCATGGTATCTAACGGCCTTGTGCTGGTCAAAGGGCCCCGATCCCAGGAGCTCCCCACCACGGTGGCTCCGTTGAGGCAGCGATGGGGGATGTGGTCAACGGGGGTGGATTTGTGCAGCAGGAACTGTGGTGCCCACAGGGTTGGGCAGGGCGGCAGGGGGAGCTGGCACGGGGGTGGCCTCACCCCGTCCCCTCGGGCCTCTGACTTAGGCGGGAGGGCCCACTTGCCCTGCTGCAGTCCGAGAGCCCAGCCTCGCGTTCTCTCCCCAGGGTCTGGAGGACCTGGAAGAAGCAGAGGAGCCGGACCTGGAGGAGGACGAGGACCAGAAAGTACGGGACGAGCTGTGAGCACGGGTGGGCCTGGCGCCCGGAACCACACCGCGGTTCTGCAGCCCCAGGGCAGAGCCCACCCGGCCCTGGAGCCAGCAGGGACCCAGGCACCTCTTCCACACTTTTCAATCTTTGGAAAGGAATTGACTACCAGGCCGGCCCACGCGCTGGGCAGTTTTTTAATCGTGATGTACATTTTTGTACATGTTCTTCATCTGAGAGCTCCCTAAAATGTTTGAGAATCTCACGGTGGGGCCTCCCCCGTCGGGGCTCTGTGGTATCACCATAGAAACTCCACCTGTGGGATTTTCAGGCATTTTCCGATGTCCGGACACTTGTCACGGCTCCCTGGAGCCTCTGCCCCTGGGGATGGAGCCAGGCTGGCCACAGTCCCTCCCACCTGTGCCCCAGCATGGCTCCTGTGTCCCTGGTTAGACAGACTCCCAGGATCCCGCCTGAGGAAGGGCCGGGACCACTGGCTATAGGGCCCAAACGGGGCCGGGCTTGGCTCCTTCGTTAGCACTGGATCCCCTCCCAGTGCGGCCTGCATGAGGCAGAGCCGGACCCAGCCAAGGCAGCCTGAGCCGAGCCTTAACACTGACGCTCCCCCAGGCACCTGCACCCCAACATTGGAATCCACCATTGGCCAAATAAAGTTGAAATTGTACTAGTTGAGGCTGCATCTGTCTTGTCCCCGTCCCATAGGGATTGGGGTGCAGGCAAGTGGGGTATGGGACAAGTCTGCCACCGCCCGCACCTGCGCCACTCCCACAGGCGTGGATTCCTGGGACCCCGCTGTGTCCGGTTCAGGGCAGAGGCTTCTGTAACATGTTGCCTGCACGTGTTTGGAGCTGCCAGCTGCACTGTCTGGGTTCACAGTACCCAGTCACACTTGCACAGGGTAGGGCTACAAGAGGACAGGACGAGGGGCAGCTTGCTGTGCCATCCCTCTAACCTCCCAGAGCACTCTGAAGGCGATCTGCAGCAGGTACCATGCAGAGGCTGGCATTGCGGCACCAGCATCCAAAGTGGGTACCAGTTCTGGTCCTGGCTGCGCCACTGCTGATCCAGCTCTCTGCTGATGGGCCAGAGAAAGCAGCAGAGAATGGCCCAAGTCCTTGGCCCCTACACCCACTTGGGAGACAAAAGGACCAGGCGGCTGTCCTCAGCGCCTACAGAGGGGCAGCTCCTGGGATCGGGGGGAGCTCACGTGCTCACTGGGCAACACCCTGGTTAGACCCTGGGCTGGCAGGTGTCTCAGGCTGTGCTGCCGCCTGCCTCCTGCAATGGGCGCTGACGAGCTAGCGGGCCGCGGGTTCTGATGTTCACATGCTGGGCTGGTGTCTGGCCAGTACAGGCAGGCCAGGCCTCAGGGCTTGGGAGGACCACCAGGTGCACGGGGGGGGGGGGGGGGGGGGCGGCGGTAGGCAGTGCCCCTCATGCCGAGAGGGGCCATGAGGACTCAGCCCACCTGCCAGCTCCCTGGGCACTGTCCGGCGGCTCTCTCAAGCTGGTATGCAGGCATGGTACCCACACAGTGGGATGTGTAGCTGTGGGTGATGGCCCCGGTGGGCTGGACAGGCGGCTGCTTCACCTTGGACTCCAGCTGATGACACTGCGTGGTGGCCCCTGTCAGAGAAAAGGCCCCTGGGGGCAGACACCGCAGGCTGAGCCCAGGGCCTCTCCAGGTTCTCGCTAAGAGGAGCAGCAGCAGAGGGGTACAGTGACTGTGCTGGCCAGCTGCACAGGAGCTGGGCACTGTGGCGGTCACGCGCTCCTGGGAGGGCAGTGAGTCACTAGTGCCTTTCCCCCTCGTGGACATGGCTGATGGGCATTCTTGGCCCGGCCTGCTGGGAGCTGTGGGTGGTGCCCAGGCCTCCTTGGCTGGGCCAGCAGGCCAGGCTGCCCGGACGCTCTTCCTGCCCTGCCCCAGAACCCAGGCTGGGCCATGGGCCTGTGGCGACTTGTCCTGGCTCCCATCCTCAAAGCTAGGGGCAGTGTTCTGCACCACACGCTCTGATCTCTCCTCGAGAGTAGAAGTGTGTGAACACCGGGTCGCTTCCCAAGCTCGTGGTGCCTGAAGGGAAATAACGAAGCACCCGCAGCCCAGGTGTCTGCTCCCAGGCTGCTCAGTGGCTCACCCACTTCCTGCTGAGTGCCTGGGATGGGGTGAGGAGGGAGGTCCGGGCTCAGCTGGGACACCTCGGGCCCTTGAGAACAGTTCCTTCGCTCACTCTTTCACATAAATTTTTTTTTTTGAAAGATACACAGAAAAGTGCTGGCTCACTCCCCAAATGGCCAGAGCAGCCAGAGCTGAGCCCCTCTGAAGTTGGAATGCCTCCTCCAGGTCTCCCACATGGGCTCAGGGTCCCAAGACTTTGGACCATCCTCACTGCTTTCCTAGGCCACAAGCAGGGAGCTGGATGGAAAATGGAGCATCTGGGACACGAACCAGCACCCATGTGGGATCCTGGTGCATACAAGGGAATTAGCTGCTAGGCTACCATGCTAGACATGTAAATCTTTAAAAAGCCAGCCTGCATTACATGGCCTGTCGGGACTACACAGGGGCAGCAACGACTATAATGCCAGCCTCCCGGGTGAGGTGTCCCCGGTGGCTTCTAATTCTAATCCTCCACACAGTGAAAGGCACGATGCCCACTGAGAGGGGTCTGCATGGCCACTCCTGTCAAGGCCTGTCCTGTCCAGCTGGCAGCAGTTTCGCTCCTGGGCTACCACCTGATCCTCTGTGCAGAACAATGGCAAGCTTTCCGCCATGCGAGCCGAGCTTATACCCCCGGAAGTGTGGGGACCCCAGCAGGGTCCTTGTAGGCCCAGTCTGGCAGAAGCTGCAGGTGCCTCCAGTGTGCCTGGTGGCACTGCACCTGGCACACGATGCCCTGGGCCCTGAGGCAGGCAGCGAGGCTCAGAAACGGGCATCCTTGAGCACCGTTGGCCAGGAGGATGGGGAGCTTGGAACAGAGACACGGGGCAATAGGGAGGTGAACCCTGAGGCCACCAGCCTGGCCCACCCCTCCTCGGGTTCCTGAGCTGCCCCTGCGGCTTGGTTCCGTTCCCAGTGTCCACATCTGGTCAGCCAGGCCCCTCTTAAGTTCTGGCTTAAGCACCCCCTTGGCGTCCAGCTGTGGCAGGGCTGAGGGCAGCTGGAGTGGGGAGAACTCCAGGTTATCATCTAGGAGAAGGCTGGGGCAGAGGGGCACCCCCTGCCACACACAGGTACCCTACATGGTCCTGTCCCTAATGTGTGACAAGCAGGGCACCCCCCACCAACACACAGGCACCCCATGTGGTCCTACCCACATGTGTGGCATTAGCAGGGTGGCCCCTGCCCCCTGGAATCCTGGAACAGGTCAGTCACCCACATTGCACCCACTCGGGCCCCGGCTTCCTGCCCGTGCCCTCTGTAAGGCACCTTCCCGGTCCAGCTGTGGGGTAGGGAGCGGCGGCCAGAAAGGATCTGACCTCTCTGGCAGGACATGGAACAGGTGGGCTGAAAGACGAGCTGCTAATACGATCCTTGACCGGAGGGGGGTCGGCTCGGTTTCAGGCCCTCGCGCCCCACAGCGTGACCGCGCAGCTTTATATAGCGCCCGCAGCCCTATATAAGCCGGAAGCAGGGTCTGTGTCCGGAGGAAGAGAGTCCACACTCCTCACCCCGTGCAGCAGGGTCCCCAGAGGGGCAGCCCCAATGCCCAGCAGGACGGCACGCTACGCCCGCTACAGCCCGCGGCACAGGCGCCGGCGGCTGCTGGCCGACCGCAGTGTGCGTTTTCCCAACGACGTCCTGTTCCTGGATCACATCCGCCAGGGGGACCTGGAACAGGTGGGGCGTTTCATTCGTGCCCGGAAGGTCTCCCTGGATACCATCTACCCCTCAGGTGAGCCGCAAGCCTGGTGCCACCACCCCATCCTGGGGCACCCCTGCAAGGGGGTCCAGCCCAGACCCCTGCCCTGCCCTAGGAGGGCCTGTCCCAGGAGGGCCGGGCCTGGACCCCCTGCCCACAGCCTGCCCCATGAGCGCTGGGCCTGGAACCCACCTGCCCCAGGAGGGTGGGCCTGGACCGGCTGCCCACAGCCTGCCCCATGAGCGCTGGGCCTGGACCCCCTGCACGCAGCCTGCCCCTGAGGGCCAACTCGGCCCTGAGCACACCCTGCCCTGCCCAGGCCTGGCGGCCCTGCATGAGGCCGTGCTGTCTGGGAACCTGGACTGCGTGAAGCTGCTGGTCAGGCACGGGGCGGACATCCACCAGCGCGATGAGACGGGCTGGACGCCCCTGCACATCGCCTGCAGCGATGGGTACCCCGAAATAGCCAGGTGAGGACGAGCCTGCCCGCCCTGGCCGCCTTCGAGAACGCTCCCCGGGCCCGCGGCCAGCGGGGACGCTCCCACAGGCTCGGGTTTCCGCGTGCCCACGCTGCTGCTCGCCCCCAGGTACCTCATCTCCCTGGGGGCCGACAGGGCCGCCGCCAACGACGACGGCGACCTGCCCTCCGACCTCATCGACCCCGACTTCAAGGACCTGGTGGAGCTCTTCCAAGGGACCAAGATGGAATGAGCGCCTCCCGGGGCCAGGCCGGCCTCGACCCCCGCCCTGCACACACACACACACTCAGCGCTCCGGCCTCCACTCCCTCCAAGTGCATTTTTTATTGTGACACTTTTTACTTTTTCAATAAACATGACTGCCAAGCCCGCCGAGGGGCCTCGTGACTGGGCCGCGTCCTCGCGCCCCTCCCCTCAGCAGCCCGCAGCCGCCATCGCGCCGTCACGTGGGCCGCGCCGCGTCACTTCCGCCGGGGCCTCCCAGCTGGAAGCGGCGGCGGCGGCCGACCGGGCGAGGTGAGGCAGTGGGCGGGCGGTGGACCGGAGCTGGACCGGGGCTGGACCGGGGCTGGCGGGGCAGTGGATGGATGGGGGACGGGAGCTGGACCGGGGCTGGACCGGAGCTGGACCGGAGCTGGACCGGAGCTGGACCAGGGCTGGACCGGGGCGGGGCTGGCGGGGCGGTGGACGGGAGCTGGACCGGAGCTGGCGGGACAGTGGATGGATGGGGGACGGGAGCTGGACTGGGACTGGCAGGGTGGTGGACGGATGGGGGACGGGAGCTGGACCGGGGCTGGACCGGGGCTGGACTGGGGCTGGCGGGGTGGTGGACGGATGGGGGACTGGAGCTGGACCGGGGCTGGTGGGGCTGGCGTGGCAGTGGATGGAGCTAGACCGGGGTTGGCGGGGCTGGCGGGGCGGTGGACGGCGGTGGACGCGCGGGCCGGTGACCCGCAGGGAGACGGCCGTGGCCGTCCAGGGGTCGCTGTCCCCAGGCGGAGGGGGCAGCCAGGCCCCAGGAGGGCTTTGGGGCGCTGTCTGGGATGGACCCCCGCCTGGGGCTAGCGTGGTCGGGGCTGTCGCAGGGGCCCCTGAGCGTGCAGGGGGCGTGGGCTGCTGCCCTCCCTCGGTGGGGTGACCCGGGAGGGCCAGCGCCCCTTGGGTTGCCGGCCGCCGCACCCTCTGCCTGCTGCGGGGCAGTGCAGGGTGGGGTGGTGGTCCCCTGGGGCCCTTGGGCTGGCTGCAGATGACAGCGATGGACCCACGTGCTGCTATTGTTGCAGCCTGGAGGCAGCATCTGCCTGGTGCGTGCCCCACCTGTGGCCCTTGGGCATCTGGGGAGCAGTGAGTCTCAGGAACCCAGGGGTTGGGGTTCAGCAGGGAGGGGGCATGTGGCTGAGCAGCCAGGCAAGGGGCGGTCTGGCAGGGAGGGCACACTGTCACACTGGCTGCCACTCTGACTGGGCCAGGGCACAGATGGGCAGCTGCAGGGCTGGCCAGTGGTGGGCGTCACGAGGCAGGGCCAGCGGCTGGTGCTGCCCCAACCCCTCTGGCTGCCGTGCCCCTCGGAGCCTCCCAGCCTGGCCCCATGGCTGCCAAGGCTGAGGTCACAAGCCTGTGCTCCCTGCCCTCCTCACTCACCTGGGTAGGAAGAGTGATGCCGAAGCGGCCTCAGGGCTTCCGCTGCGCCCTCAGCTGCCCGAGGCACGCTGAGCAGACAGGCGCGAGTCGCTCGCTGGCAACTCAAACCTGGGTGCAGGCCCCTGCCCCCTTCGGGGCCCAGCACACATCCTTTGCTGACACAGCCGGGTTCTCTGGGCTTGGGGGGATCGTGCGTGAGGGTCAGCCACGTCTGAGGTGTGTGGGGTCACGGCTTCCCACTGACCTGCATGGGGCTGGTCATGTTGGGGGCAGCTCTGGGTGTGCCCAGGCCTCCTCCCGCTGAACATGGCCATGCCCATCGCATCCACTGCTTGTCCCGGGGCTTCTGTTACAGAGGCCGAGGGGACCTGGCAGCAAGACACTGGGCCTGGACACCCCAGCAATGACCAGGTGGGTCTCGGGCAGGTGGGCGAGGCCGGGCGGGGCACCCCAGGCTCCCTCCCTCACACGCCCGGCCCCCAGCTCCCCTGTGCCCAGAGTCCTGTACAACGCCAGGAGAAACAGCAGCCCCCGCTCCCCCCCGATGAGCAGCGAGATCTTCACCCCCGCCCACGAGGAAAATGTTCGCTTCATCTACGAGGGTGGGTGCTGGTCCAGGAGGAGGGTGGGGGTGCCAGCCCTGGCAGAGTGGGGTGTTGGGGCACTGGCCAGGAGGAGGGTGTGTGCTGGGGACATGGCCCAGGAGGCGGGTTGGCCCGCAAGGAGAGCCTTCCTGGTCAGCACGGGTGCGCTGACTGCTGTGGCCGGGCTGCAGCCTGGCAGGGCGTGGAAAGAGACCTTCGGAGCCAGCTGTCGGGCAGCGAGCGGGGCCTGGTGGAGGAGTACGTGGAGAAGGTCCCCAACCCCAGCCTCAAGAGTGAGTGGGGCCCCTGGGGGGCCGGGGGCGGGCCGGGGCCTGGCCGCTGATCCAGTGCCGCCCTGCTGGCCCCCTCCCCGGCAGGCTTCAAGCCCGTCGACCTGAGCGACTTGAAGCGCCGCAGCCCGCAGGACGCCAAGAAGTCCTAGAGGGCTGGCTGTGCCTGATGGAGCCCCGCCTGCCGTGGGGGGCTGACTCCCGAGGCCCGTCACCCCAGCTACTGCCCCCACATGTCCCTGCTTCCCCCGCCCAGGTGCCACTTGGCTCTGTCCCCCACCCCCCCACCCCCGAGTCCCTGGCCCCAGCCCTCTAACCTGACCTGCTGTAGCCCCAGCCCCTAGCTCCTTTAGGATCAAGAGGGCAAGGGCCCTGCCTCCCACACAGGGGCACTCTTGGGCAGCATCGCCCGCTCCCAGCATGGGTTGCCCGCCAGCCCTTCCCTTCCCTGGCTTAGACACCACCTAGCTCCTCACTCGGCTCCAAGATGACCCGGGTGCTCGGGACCTGGGACGCTGCTGGATCCCCCAGGGCCCCAGCAAAGAGGCTATGCTGGCCCCAAGGGGGAAGGGTGTCGGGCTGACCAGAAGGTAGTGGTGCTTCTGGGCCCATCCTGGCTCTCAGCGTGTCCTGGGAGGGTCACCACGACCCCTTCTTCCTGTGTCCCAGCAAGTCATGCATCCACGTGGCCCTGGGATGGGGCCTTGAATAAAACAGGTGATCTGGGGTCAGCCTCTTGGTGGTCTCTCCGGAACCCTGCTTCACAGCCCGTGTGCCTCGGCTCTCAGCCAGGGCTGCAAAGCCCACTCATGATCGCGGGGGTCAGGTACATGGGGAAGTGGTGGGCCCTGCCCTTCCCCTGGAATGCTTTCAGGAGCACTGTTTCCAGAACATTCTGGGGTGGGTGGGGGTATGGCCTGAGCCCCAGGAAGGGCCTTCCCTGTGACAGGCCAGCTGCTGCCAGATGCCCACAAGCCTCACTGGCCGAGGCAGGAACTCCAGGGAGGCAAGGACCCTGCCAGGCGCTCTGCTCAGGCAGGCAGGATGTCCCTGTGCAGGGCGGGGTGACCCGACTGGGCTGTTTGCCCCCCTGTCATCAGGAGCTGCCGTTCAGTGTGACCACCGCTGAGAGGTACCAGGCAAGCCCTGTGCGGGATGGCCTTCTGTCCGCCCTCTGGCTTATTCCCCCACGCCCTTGTGGGTGGCAGGAGCCCCAGGAATGGCCACTCCTCTGTCCACCCACAACCTGGCGATGGGGGAGCCCGCCTTTGCTGACACCTTAGAGACCTGCAGGGGAGAGTGCCAAGGTGCTGCCTGAGTGCTTTGAGAAGTCTGAGCTGGCACCGGCTTTGGTGCGCCAGGCTGAGAAAAGCCAAAGTGTGTTGGCTGAGCAGATCCAGCGTGTGCATCCCCAGGCCCAGAAACTTTTTTTTTAAAGATTTATTTTTATTGGAAAGTCAGATATACAGAGAGGAAGAGAGACAGAGAGGAAGATCTTCCATCCACTGATTGACTTCCCAAGTGAGCACAACGGCCAGTGCTGTACCGATCCAGGAGCCAGCAGCCTCCTCCAGGTCTCCCACGCGGGTGCAGGCCCCAAGGCTTTGGGCCGTCCTCCACTGCTTTCCCAGGCCACAGGTAGGGAGCTGGATGGGAAGTGGGGCTGCTGCGATATGAACCGGTTCCTATATGGGATCCTGGTGCATGCAAGGCGAAGACTCTAGCCACCAGGCCTAAGAAACATTAAGGTTTGTTTTGAGGAGTACCTGACGTGGTATAGTAGGTAAAGCCACTACCTGTAGTGCTGGCATCCGGATGGGCACTGGTTCATGTCCTGGCTGCTTCGCTTTCCATGGCCCGAGAAAGCAAAGTGCGTGGGCCCCTGCACTCACGTGGGAGACCTGGAAGAAGCTCCTGGCTCCATTCTGGCCCCGCCCAGACCACTGTAGCTACTTGGGGAGTGAGCCAGTAAACAGAAAACTCTGGAACTGCCATTCAAGTTAACAAATAAATGTTCTGGGGGAAAAAAAAATGTTTCTGTTTAATGGAAGGGCCAGGCTGCAATGGCCAGGCTGAGCTCCCTCTAGTCTCCATGTGGGTGACAGGACCCAAACACATGGGCACAAGTAGGGAGTTTGGTGGGAACTGGGTGCCCACAGGGATGCCAGCATTGCTGGCAGCAGCTTCACCCACTGCACCACGAAGCCAGGCCTTGCATCTGTGTTTCTTGGCAAGCTGTGTGAGCGTCCCCTCCTGGCTGTCCTCTTCCTGCTCCAGGGCACAGTACCTCCCTGTCACTGGGTGTCACGGACTCGTGGCTGGCACTTGTTTCCGGTGCCATGTGATAAGCCCAGAACTCCCAGCAGGGCATGGAAATCCACCTCCCCTCTCTTAGGGGCTCTGCTGAGCCCTCCGCCGGCCTGAGGGCCCCATCTCCAGCCGCCACCCCCAGCAAGCAGCCTGTGCTGGCCGCCATGCCCGCACAGCCTGTGTGCACACATGCCCCCACACCCCTGGCAGCCTTGGCAGAAAGGACTGTTGCAGGGTGGTGGCGTGAAGTGAGGAGCTGGAGTGGAGACGCTGAGCTAGAGGCAGAGGCAGTGTGCTGAGCAGGATGAGTGGATGCATCTACCCCCTACGGGGCCGCCCTGATCACAGCCACCAACTCGGCCCCTGGGGATGTGGGGACAAAGTGGAGGCCGAGGACAAAGGAAGGTGGGCCAGGCCGACAGGAGCCACGGGTGGGCAGACTTCTCCCTAGGCAGCCACTGGCCGCAGCGCCGCTGGCGTGGGCACGTTACGCCTGGGATGGGGTGACACACGGAGTGTGCATGCCAGGGCCCAGACGGGAACTGATTCTAGTTTCTGGCAGCCAGTGGCCACATCCAGCTGGACAGTGGGCTGGCCCTGCTGCCCCTCTGGCCCCAGGACCCCACCAGGCCCAGCCCTGCCCACTCTGGGCTCCCTTCCCTCCCTGCTCCGCTCAGGCCCAGCAGACAGCAGGGTCTGCTGGGCAGCTAATTCTATTTACCTTTCCTGAGAGTCTGCCTGTCCTCTCATTTGCTCAATTAGCCATGTGCTGGTGAAGCCACTGCCGGCCACGTGGCTCCCTGAACAGTACCACCTGGCTGGCCTTCCCACCATGCACACTTGCCTGCACTTCCCACACAGCTCAGGACAGAGCCTCCGTCTGCCCCAGGGGGCCCCAGGGGCCTCTCAGCTGGTGGGGGGTGGCCTGCCAAGTGCCCGGGAAGCAGGGCCAACACAGCCTAATGCTGCTCTTGCCAGAGCCCGTGCACTCCAGGACCCAACCCCCATCTCCAGTCCTGCACTCAGCCGTGGCAGCAGGGGAAGGAAGCCCAGGCCCTGCTTCCACACGCCATGGGCCTCCCTCGACCACCTCGACCACCGGACCCCTCCCTGTCCCCTGCTGGCCATGGGGACGGGGGAGGTGGCCATACCTGCCCAGGGGTTCTGGCTCCAACTGACCAAGAAGTGGGGCTATCTGAGGGGCGCCCCTCAGGATGGGCACAAAACAATGCCAGTTCTCCATACAGCACTCCTGGAGCACAGCCAGCCCATGGCACATGCCAGCAGCTGCTGATCCAACCTTTTATTGCTGCAGGCCTCAGGGACTGCCCCTGCCCCCAGGCACACAGGGGCACACAGGCCTGTAGTTCAGGTTTGGCCCATTGGCAGCACCCTGCCTGAGCCTCAGGGCAGGTATTTGCAGCAAACCCAGGGGGCAGGTGGCTGGTGGCCAGGGCGGTCCTCTCAGGGTTTGAGTGCAGGCCCAGCACTCAGAAGGGCCGCTCGGCCAGCCCAGGGAGGCCGCCAGCCAGCAAGGCCTTCGCTGAGGGGTTCCAGACAGCCCCACTGCTGCCCCCTGCCTGTGCCAACTGCAGCTTCTCCGGGCCGGCCGAGGGTGTGTGCACACTGGCTGACCGCTCCTCCCGCAGCGCCTTGCCCAGGCGCCAGCGCTGCCAGCGCCGCAGCAGCTCCAACTGCACCTGGGTATAAAGTGGGGCCAGCTGGTCACCCCAGGGGTCGGGGCAAGGGAGGACCCCAACCCTCAGCCCCCACCTACCTCCTTGTTGAGGAAGCAATAGAGGACAGCCACCAGCAGGCCCTGCGGGGACAGGGGGGTCAGGGGTGGGAGCAGGGCAGGGTGGGGGCAGGGACAAGGCTGGGAGCAGGGCAGGGATGCGGCTGGGAGCAGGGCAGGGGTGGGGCAGGGATGTGGCTGGGAGCAGGGCAGGGGTGGGGCGGCACCTGGAAGGAGCTGAGGAAGAGATCGAAGAAGAGCTTGGTGGAGCGCAGGGCGCCCTGGGCCTGCTCGTCGGTCACGAAAGCGAAGACCACCTCGTGGACGCCCAGTAGGGGGATGAGCGTCAGCGTGGACTTGGCCAGCCTGCAGGGGCAGGGCCTGAGCCACCCAGGACACAGGCCTGACTGCGCCCCGCCTGCCCCCGGAGCCTCCTGCCCACACCCGCACCCACCGGAACTTGTAGTCCGTGCGCTGCATCTGGTGAGCACGCAGTTTGGCCACCAGCAAGCGGACGACTCGGACAAAGATGAAGAAGTTTATCTGTGAGAGCAGGTGAGCAACTGTGGTACCCGGACAGGACGGACAGCCTGGCCCGCAGCCCAGCTGGGGTCCCTGGGCCATCCCACCCTCACCAGGATGGCCAGGAGGACGGGGACACGCAGAATCCACCAGAAGCCCATGTTGTCATTGCTGGTCCAGCACCTGTGGGGCAGCTGCTCAGAGCCGGCGCGCGTGCCCCTCTCAACCCACGCCCCGCTCCCACACCCGCAGGCCCAGCCCCCCCGCTGCACGGCCCAGCCCAGCGCCACTCACTGGACATTTTCGAAGAGGCACTTGACCACCGCCCAGGGGATGACAAACAGCAGGGGGGCACCTGCGGGGACAGTGGCTGAGATCCCCAGCCCAGACTCCCCACGCCCGCTCCCGCCCCGTGCTGGCCCTTACCCCAGCCGATGCCCAGGTAGAGGGAGAAGCGGCTCCTCTCGGGGAAGGTGGGCAGGCCCAGCAGGCTGTGCAGGTAGACGCCCTCCACCAGCAGCCAGCAGTAGTTGGCCACAACACCGTACTGCATGAAGACCGTGACCACCCGGCAGCCGGCCACCGCCTGAGCAGGCA